ATGCTATTAACTTTCCTCTTACCACTGCTTTCATTGTGTCTCATAAGTTTGGGTATGTTATGCCTTCATTTTCATTGAATTTTAGGAAGTCCTTAATTTCTTTCCTGACCCAGATTTCATTGAGTAGTGAGTTGTTCAGTTTCCGTGTGGTGTGTGTGTGTGTGTGTGTGTGTGTGTGTGTGTGTGTGTGTGTAGGCTTTTTGTCATTTCTGTTGTTCTTCAAGTCCAGCTTTAGTCCGTGGTGGTCTGATAGGATACAAAGTATTAATTTCAATCTTCTTGTATCTGTTAAGGCTTGCTTTGTGACCAAATTGACCAATATGCTCAATTTGGGGCAGCAGAGGAAGAGAGTGTATCAGGGAACAGTGTCAAAGATCACACTGCAGATATAGTTAGAGGCATCTATGCCTCCAGCCACTCTCCAGATGAAGTCAGGCAGAGGGCAGGAGGCCCTGCAGACAAAGGGAGTCCTCCATCAGCTCAGAAAGGCTATCTGGTCAGGGTGGACTGGAACCTTAGCAGCAGGGTCTTCCAACACTGGTTAGTTGGCTGTAGCAAAACCAGGACAGTGCATAGAACGCACTCTAAGTCCCTGTGCTTTAATAGTATCCAAAAGTGGCTGCAGGGCTAGGGAGAGTCTGGGGTGAAGAGTCGTGCTGCTCTTGCAGAGGATCTGAATTCAGTTCGTAGCATCCACGCCATGTAGCATTACCAGCCCCAACTCCAGCTTCTGGGCACCCAACACTCTCTGACAGCTTTGGCACATGCACATACACCATGCACAGACATGCACATACATACGTGATTAAAAATAAAATAAAACCTTTAAAAATTGGCAGACAAGCTGAGCATGGGGACTCATACCTTTAATCCCAGTGCTTAGAGGGCAGAGGCAGGAGGATCTCTGATTCCAGGCCAGCCTGGTCTACAGAGCTACATCTAGGACAGCCAGGGCTGCACAGAGAAACTCTGTTTTGAAAAACAAACAAATATAAAAGTGGTAGAGAATGTTTATCATGGGGCTCAGCTTCTCAAAAGGATTTATGGGAGGAAAGAGCCAAGGTTCAAGACCTGCCTCTCTATGTGCCAAGTTCAAAGCCAGCCTGATCTATAATGAGATTTTTTTTTTTAAAGGAAAGTGTAGGGTTGGGGCTGGAGGGATCACTCAGCAGTTGAACACACTTGCTGCTGCCACGGAGGACCTGGGTTCAGTTCCCAGCACCTACATGGTAGCTCACGACCATCTGTTATTCCAGTTCCAGGGGACCTGATCCAGTCTTCCGGCCCTTTTCAGGCACTGCATATACGCGGCACACAAACACATACATGTAGGCAAAATGCCCGTATACATACAGTAAAGATAAATACACCTTTAAAAAATAAACAGAGTGTTTGGGGCTGGTGAGATGGCTCAGAAAATCCTGCTGCTAAGCCTGGGGACAGAACCAACCCCACAAGTTGTCTCCTGACTTCCACATGTGCACCGAGGCAGCCTTGTGATCACATAAATACACACTCACACATTCACACCACACAAACATCGCTGGGATATTTATTTACTTATTCTTGTTCCGAACTTGACCTCACTATGGAGCTGTGGCTAGCCTTCCCATGTACAACTCATGTGCCATAGGCATGTAATCCCAGCATTCCGGAGGCAGAGCGGAAGGGTGAGAATTATGTGGCCAAGTACAGAGCTTGGGACAGCTGAGTTGTCGGGTTCTTACCTAGAACACCCTAGGATGACCAAGGGTGGAAAGCCGGGCATAGTATCAGAGTCCTAGATCTGCTACTCCCTAGTGCTGCAAAAATAGTAATAATAAAAAAGAAAGAAAAAAAATTACCAGAGGGGATGTGATAGGTCACATGGGAACACTACGGCACTATGTGTAAGGGCTTGGGCATCTGTAGATTCTGGGAGTCACTGGGGAGCAGTGGGCTTAGAAGCCCCTACAGACCCTGAGGGACAAGTGCATGTTTACCTGTATATATTCATAAGCTGTTGCTTTCGTTTTCTTTGGGCTTTTTTGGAGGGGATTATTGGCAGGGTCTCTATTTGGGCTTTTTTTTGGGGGGGGGTGTTGACAAGGTCTCTATTTGTAGCTTTGACTACCCTGGAACTCACGGAGAACCTGCCTGCCTCTGCCTCCAGAACGCTGAGATTAAAGGTGTGTGCCACCACACCCAGCTCCGGATTATAGTCCCTATAGTCCCTTTTCATGCCAGTCCTTCAATATGCAACAGGTGTTTCACACAGATAGTGCGCCTTGACAATAGCACCCTCAAGTGGCTCAGGGCACGGACTAAACAGTATAGCTCGTGTGAGATTCCTGACTTCCACACAACATGTTCTGAGGGACAGCTTTTATGACACATGATTACGCTAAACCCAAACAGGGATGCGTGCTGGACTGAATCATGTTCCCTCTGTGCCTGAAGACCTTTCGTCTAGCATGTGTGTGTGTGTGTCTCTCACTGTGTATATGTAAATGTATATGTGATGGCTTACATGAGATGTGTGCACATGAGGAGGCCAGAGCAGAACACTGGGCATCTCCCTTTACTGCTCTCCATCTTATTGTACTGTCGGGGTCTCTCAGCGAACCAGATGCTCACCATTTCAATTGGGCTCTCAGGATCTACCTGTCTCTGCCCGAAATGCTGGGATTATAGTCACAAGCAGCTTTTTACATGGGTGGTAGGGATTCAAATCAATTCCCCATCACACCCTTACCCATGGAGCTGTCTGTCTCTTCAGGCTCCACAACTCTATACTTCTAAGGTCTTGTTTCCTCTTTCTCTATTATGAGAACAAAGTCAGACCTTCACACCTAAGCATGTGGCTATCCTGCTGCCTCAGATCCCCCACTCTGTCCCAAGGCAGTCAGGTGGCTCCAGTCCATATTATAAAGACAGATGTGCAGCCTGCCCTGCTGTGTGAGCGGGAGCTGAATCTGGGCCTGGAAGCCAGGGTTGCCTGCCCTCTTCTCAGAGGATGTCAGAACAGGGACCAAAGCCATTTTTAGCCACGTGCTTGTGCTTGTGCTTGTGCTTGTGGAAGACGGCATAATGAAGATGAGGAGGAGGGTTAGAGACATGGCTCGGAGGTTACGAGCACTGGCTGTTCTTCCAAAGGTCGTGAGTTCAATTCCCAGCAACCACATGGTGGCTCACAACAATCTATAATGATATCTGGTGCCCTCTTCTGGCCTGCTGGCACACATATGAAGAAATAAATCTTAGGGGGTGTGTGTGAACATGATTTAGACAAATGGACACTAGTCTGTTTGGACCAGTCCTTGATCCAGCACACACTCCCAAAAGTGGGGCCAACTAGGGCTCCAGAAGATGGCTGGGCCTTCAGACCGAGGGAGGGGACCCACAGGCAGGCCTGCCTATTCGTTTCAAGTTGAATTGCATCCCCCTATCAACATCCAGGAAGGAGCAAAAGGCCAGCCCTGACCTCAGGTGTCTGATGTGTACAGAAATATGAACACTAAGTCCTGGGGATCGCTGCCCAGCACACATAGACTTCAGAAAGATCTCAAGAGCATCAGCATCAGAAAGACCTCAAGCAGCTATGTTCCGATTCAGCACGTCCACCAGGATCTTGGAAAAACAAATTCAAGTGAGCCCTGTGGCTTCCAAGACAAAACCTCCTCCAGAGGGAGCCAGCCCAGCCACTGCCCTGAAAATCCATCCTTTAATCCCATCATCCTGAAGGCAGAGGCAGGAGGATCTCTATGAGTTCCATGCCAGCTTGGTCTATGTAGTGAGTTCCAGGACAACAAGACCTACATCCAGAGGGAGGGAGAGAGGATGAGGAGAGAATGAAGCTGGGGGAGGGGAGCTTTTTCAGAGTAACAGAGGCAGTCTGGAGGGGATCTAAACCAGGCGTGTCTTTCGGAACTATAATTTGGAAGCACTGACTCTCGGGGTCGATATCCGTACCCGCAGTCTGCCCAAGCTCTTACAGCTCCATCTCCTCGGCACCCAGCATCCTTTTTGGGTTCATATGCCAGCTTCTGCAGTTTCGTCGCCTCCAGCCCTGTGGAAGCCTCAAGTCCAGCACCACTAGCTCCTGACTCAATCTCTGCAGCCTGAAAAAGGTGAGCATTGGGCCTAGTGTACCTCCCATACACCCTACCTCCTCCCCTCTTCCCTCCTTTCCCCTCTCCGCTCATCCCCTCCCACCCTGCGGACATTACCTGGCACAGCCTGTCAGGAATCTACACCGCGCCAGCTACTGGCCACCCGTTTCCACGCATGGTCCCCGCAGGTCTTAGCCAGCAGCTCCAGTATATAGGGCAAGTCTCTAGAAAGATCTTTACATAGTCGATTGCTTGACTTGTTCTGAACGTCTAATGCGCACAGGGCAGTGTGTTGGGCATGCACATGGAGTGGTGGAAAGCTGTCCTCTGTCTGACCATCAAACCCCTGATGGACCGCTGGTTTAGGTAGCGGCACCCAGAACAGTCCCTCCCATATGCTGGGAACTTGGTAAATGCTTGTTCGTTGACAGGTATTCATGATTGCATGTGATTATCTATCTTGTGCAGATTCCGTGCTTGAAGCACTCCTTCAGAGCTCTAACAAGGCGGCTTTTTAAATTTTTAATTAGCTTATAAAGGAAGAAGATTTTTTGTTTTGTTTTCCGAGACCGAGTTTCTCTGCGTAGCCTTGGCTGTCCTGAAACTCGCTCCGTAGACCAAGCTGACCTTGAACTCACAGAGATCCGCCTGCCTCTGCCTCCCAAGGGCTGGGATTAAAGGAGTGTGCCACCACGCCCCGCCTCTCTGTAGAAACCTTTAAGTTTCGTGAAGTCCCGTTTTTAACTCTCGAGCCTATTTCTGCGTGAAGCCCTGGTTAGAAAATTCTTGCCCATAAATATCCTTGCTTTCCTCCGCACTTCAGATCTTACTTCCATCCTCTTTAATTCGCGCCAAAGCAAGGGGCGTGGCGCCCGGCGCAGCTTGATGACGACACTGCGGCGCCGAGCGGCCGAATGGCGCCTTCCATTTCTGCGAAACTCGAGATCGGTGCTCCCGGCACTGCAGGTGAGTGGCGGCAGCCGCGCGCGAGGCAGCCCCGCAGCGTGCGGTTGTCTCGAGCCCCCGTCGAGGTCGGCTCCGTTCCTCCTCGAGCCGTGGGACTCGGGTCGCCCGGCAGCTCGGCCTGAGCGGGGCCGGCGGGGACCGAGGGCCCAGCTGCACCCTCCCGCCATCCTCCAGGGTCATGCCTTTCCGCCGCCTTCCTGCGCAGTCCTCGCAGACAGGCCCCGTGGGGGCTCGATGGACGCTCGATGCTAGAGTTGAGGGAGGGAGGAAGGACCTGGAGTGAAAATTGAGGCTTGGGCTCAGCAAGCGCTGCTCGTCGTAGAACTCGGTATGGGTCCAGGTTCTACCTTCCGACCTCTCCGGCCTCAGTTTCCTCCTCTGTAATAGGGTTGTCTCGAAGATTTTGCGGTATAGAGCAACTGTGGTCACCAAATGGTGGCAAGCCGCAGCCTCTCAGAGTGCTGCCAAAGGAAGTCTGTGGAGCGATAAGCTTGGTCGGAGGGCGTCTTTATAGAAACCCCAAAAAGAGTCGGAAGCAGCTCCTGATGAAAGTGGGTTTTGAGGGGTCGGGCGAAGCACTTTCACGCTGGCATGGGGCGTGACTGACAGTTTAAAAGCAAGTGTGTAGGAGTCGTTGCCCACTTCCCGAAAAGACCCACGTTTGACATCTCTGAACTTTCAGCTGCCTGCTTCCTGTGAGGAATTATTTGTCCCCTCTAGAGCCCTACCCTTATCAAATAGTCCACAATTTTATGCTGCCCCAGTCATTTTGGTTTAGTTTGCAATGTAGTTCAGGACTTCTGGGGTTACTGTGAAGATGTGTTTTCTATTCTTGCCTAACTGAGCACCCTTTGCATTTGCTGTATAACCAGTCACAAATCCAGGCAGATACTGACTTATCTGCTTAGGGCAGGAGAAGGCCCAGATCCAGACTTGATCCGATCTGCAGGTTCTAGGGAAGAATATGCTTCCAAGCTTATTCAGTTTGGTCTCAGAATCCAGTTTCTTTAAGGTCTTGAATTCTAGATGAGCTCTGCTCTGTATCTTAAGGTCCACTGACATTGTACTTCAGTTGTTCTTTTAAAAATCTCTTTACAACAGTATTTGGATGGGTGTTTGATTGAATAGTCAAGAAGAAGAATCTTGGGGATGGTCAAGAATTCTGCCTGTCACTGGTAATTAGATAAGGAAATAAGTGAGACACTCTTAAAGTCAATCCTGATATCTAACAAGTGCCGTATAAGGATTACCCAGTAGTCTCCACCACAAAGTTAGCTCTGAAGCTGGCTACTGTGGTCTGTATGCCTGCTGCATTTCGCAACTCAAAGGAATACATGGTGTGTGGTTTGTGCTGATTTCAACAAATGTTCTCCCATACATTGTGCAATTGTATAATCTGTTGTGTAGAAGAAACAGAGATTTTGTGTTTGTGTTTTCACAGTGGTTCCCTAAGGCGGCTGTTTGTGACTTTCCCTGGGAGACTGCAATGGCTTTCCCTCACCTACAGCAGCCCAGCTTCCTCCTGGTAAGTGTCAGCTGCCTGTGAGAATTTGTAGCTGAGGAACTTAGAACTTCTTTCCACTAATCTGAAGGTCTCATTTTTAGACAGGAGTCTTGCTATTAATCCATGCTGCTTGCCCTCTGCTTCTTTGGCTTTTGAGACAGGGTTTCTTTGTGCGGCTCTGGCTGTCCTGGAACTCACTCTGAGGACCAGGCTGGCCTTGAACTCAGAGATCCACCTGTCTGCCATCTGAGTGCTAGGATTAAAGGCGTGCACCACCATGCCTGGCTGTGCTGACCTCTTGAACTGTAGTCCTGCTTGTCTTTGTTCCCCAGGTGCAAGGATTATTATGGGCATGTGCCATAATACTCAGCTGATTTGAAAAACTTTACTGGATTTTCCTTTTTTTTTTTTTTAATAGGAAATAATACCAATATCAGTGTTAGAATACTTATTGTACCTTCTCTTAGTGCAGGATGTTGGTTGGGTGCACTCAATTTCTGAACTGGAATTTTCTCATTTACCAAGTTAGTTGATTCAGCCAGTACTTGGGAGGCTGAGACTGGAAGGTTAAGAGTTCGAGGCAGTGCCAGGTGTGGTAGATAGCTCATGCCTATCATCCTGCACTCTGGAGACTGAGCTCTTGGGAGTTTGAGAGCAGCCTGATCTGCAGAGTGAGTTCCAGGACATCCAGGACTGTTACACAGAGAAATGCTCCCCACCCATCCCCCCAAAAAAGGAAAAAAGGAGTTTAGGCCAACTTGGGCTACACAATGAAATTAGGGAATTCCAAGTTAGCCAGAGCTATACAGTGAAACTTCCTCTGAAAACTAAAAACAAGAGCTGAATCAAGTGCTATTTCCTTTGGTTCCTAGAATAAGAAGAATATATATCAGTAGTCATGATATATAAGTTCTATATATGTATGAAATGTTCTAATAATTATCATTATTATCAGTGAAAAATAGAGGGACACTGCTGCCTGCTAGGGCTTTAAGTATTAGAACATGAAGCTGGGAAAGCAGATGGAGACAGATTTGAATGATAAGGATTCTTCATTCCAGTTGTCAGAAGATATATTTCATAGGCTTTTTTTTTTTGTTGGTTTTGATTTTGAAGATAGGGTTTCTCTGTGTGCCCATGGCTATCCTGGAACTCACTCTGTAGGCCAAACTGACCTCAAACTCACAGAGATCCACATGCCCCTGCCTCTTGAGTGCTGGGATTAAAGGACTGCACAATCATGCCCAGCCTTTTTTTTTTTTTTTTTTTTTTAAGGAGTATTTCTCAGTGTAACTTGCTAGAGCCAGCTGTCTTGGCCCACGGCCTGAACAGTCAGTCAGATTGGCCTCTCTGAGACAGGCCCCAGGCAATTTCTTGTAGTTTGAAGGTGGGGTGGTCAAGGCATTAGAATCCTTGGTCCAAGCCTGCTTGTTGAAAGTCTAGCACCTCCTGATCTCAGCCTGTTTGCCCAGAGGCCACCTCTCCTTGGAGTCAGTGTGTTATCCCAACAGCTCAGGACCTTCAGTAGATCTCCTTGGTTCCTGTCCTGAATATTTTTCTGGCTTATTAGTTGTCTTGATGAATATTGAGTTGGCTGAAGCCATATATAGTTTCAGACTACAATATTTTTTGTTATTTAAAAAAATATATTTCTTTTATTTTTGGAGTTTATAATATAATTATATAATTTCCCACTTCTCTTTCCTTCTTCCAAACCCTCTCCAAACTGCATTATTTTTTAAAGCAGTAATTCCAGTAAGTCACTCTCCACTGGTTAAGAGAGAGGGGTTCTGTACTGTGCGGTGTTGGCCATTCTCACTAATGAGCACAGTGATGCAATCATGGGTGGTTGAGGAGGTGGGAAGTTTGCACCTCCTGTGTATAACTCAACACTTGTGGACTGAGTAAGGGGTCCCCATGCCACAGGGTTCCTGTCCTCACTATGGTCTGACCCTAATGCTGGCCCCTATTTGTGGGTCAGTGGGAGTCAGTTTCCTTTCAATAATGCAGCACTGTGAGCTAACAGGATGCCTGAGGGAAAGCACCTGAGACTTTCTAGTCTAAAAGTGATAGAATTACAGCTTCTCTTCTCTAGAAGCTTCTTGTGGCACATGCATGAAATGCTGGACCCATGCACAACATTATGGATTTTTATTGCTTGCGATTGTCTTTTGATTAGACATAGACTATTTGCAGGCACTGCAAGGCAAGACTGCTCACAATTCTTTCACATTGTCTTCTAGGCTAGCCTGAAAGCTGACGCTATAAATAAGCCCTTTGCACAGCGTTGCCAAGATTTGGTGAAAGTCATTGAGGATTTTCCAGCCAAGGTACGGCTTTGCCAGCAACTCCCTTTGGGCATTTCCTATAATTCTTAAGTGTCTGTAGTAGAAGCCAGAAATGCTAGAAATATCCTGTAATGCCCAGGACAGCTTCCTGCAATAAAAATGTGTCCACCTGAAAGCCTGGTATAGTAATGCTTGCTGTAGTTCCAGCACTGGAAGGAAGGAAGATCGGAGTTCAAGGCCAGGCTACATAGCAGGTTCAGGATCTCCCAGGGTTGTATGAGACCTTGTTTCAAAACAACAACAACAATGACGTATCCTGTCCCAAATATCCATTGTTGCTAAGGTTGAGTTTAGTACACATTTGGAATTATTGAGCCCACGAAATTGGCCTGGACAGTGAATTGATATGCTGTTATGTTCCGGTGATTTGATTTTAAAAAGAATATTGCTCTCCTTTTTACTAGATGTCTGTTAAGATCAGAATGGTTTGGGGGAATAGTGTTTGTGTGTGGAGGTGCACGTGTGTCTCTGTATATATGTGAAGGTATACTTGTGTATGCCATCGGGCGACCTCAGGTTGTTCCTCAGCAGCTATCCACCTTGTTTTTTGAGATAGAGTCTCACTGGGACCTGTGCATTGCTCTTTAGGCCAGGCTGGGTGGCCAGCAGACCCCAGGAATTCTCCTGACTGCCTCCTCAGTACTGGGATTATAAGCATGTGCCATAACACCATTATTTTTTTTATGGTTGTCGGGGATCAAACCCAGGTCTTCATGCTGTGCAGCAAGCTCTCCACTGACTGAGCTGTTTCTCTGCCCCATCAGAGCAAACCTCTGGTGGTGGTTGTGATCTGGGATCTGAAGTAGTGCCTCATACGAGGTATGCACGTGCTCTTTCACTGAATTAAATCTTCAGCCCCCAAAACATGTTATATTTGCCTGCACAGTGACAGTTGTCTCAGCAATTAGGAGGTAAGGCAGGAGGATTTCTGTGAGTTGAAGGCCATCCTACAGCATAGCAAGACTGTCTCAAAAAAAGCAAAGCAAAGCAAAACACAAACATTGGTGGACGGGGTGAGGGAGACTGGGGCGATGGCTCAGTGCTTAAGAGCACTTGCTACTCTTTCAGAGAACTCCAAGTTTAGTTTCCAGCACCCATGTCAGGCAGCTCATGGCCATCTGTAACTCCAGCTCTAGGATATCTGACACCTGCTTCTGGATTCCGCAGACACCTGCATTCATGTGCACACACCCATACACATATACACATAATTTTTGAAATAATAAAAATAAATGTTTTTATAAATATTTTAATAAATATTAAAAAATATTTTATGTCGAAGGCTGACTCAGTTGGCCCAAATATAAGGTTGGTGAGTTATGTGACGCCAGCGGAAAAATTCACAGCTACTCTTGGCCATTGGAACAGAGCTTCTGTGGGTCTCTATTGAGTGACCTCAGCTGGGCACTTCATGGTGCTGACTATTGGAACAGCGTCAGGGATGGCCCCTGGTACTCAGTGAGCATTCCAGCTGCCATTCTGTGCACTGTTTTAGGAATTGCATGCCATCTTCCCATGGCTGGTGGAGAGCATCTTTGGCAGCCTGGATGGTGTCCTTGTTGGTTGGAATCTCCGATGCCTACAGGGGCGTGTGAACCCTGTGGAGTACAGCATTGCAATGGAATTTTTAGACCCAAGGTACGTAGGTTTACTACTTGAGAAGGGCTGAGTACTTCCTCATGTTTACACACTCACTCCTCTTTTTAAATTTTATGTTCAGTGGCCCAATGATGAAGTTGGTTTATAAGCTTCAAGCTGAAGACTATAACTTTGACTTTCCTGTCTCCTACCTTCCTGTAAGTAAGCTGTGGTGGTGAGTAGCTCTAGGGACAGAGGGCCCAGATGGGAAGCTGTGCTATGAGTGATCAGGGAGTGATAAGGGCCCCAGGGGCTCACAGCTTAGAAATTGGCATTTTACAAAGCTCATTACAAATTGCTGATGGAGACTGTGTTGTGCTGTGGCCTGAGTAGTAGGAAGTTCCAAGTTGCTGCATTGCTCTGCTCTTCTGAGTATCCAGATCTTCAGGGCAAGTTGAAGTGTGATGTTTGGGAGGAGGTAGGACTCAAAAACAGTTCTTACGTGTGTGTGTGTGTGTGTGTGTGTGTGTGTGTGTGTAGGGGAAATTCTAAACCTATTTCTGCTCAGAGGATGGACACTGAATCCATAAAGCATGAGCTAAGGATTGGTATCTGCCTCAGTAGCCTTCCCTAAAGTGCTAGAACAGCTGGAGGTCACTGTGCTCTTGACCGTCCACCAACCTACCTCTCTTTGCAGGGCCCTGTGAAGGCATCCATTCAAGAGAATGTCCTCCCTGACAGTCCTCTGTACCACAACAAGGTCCAGTTCCCCCCGACCGGAGGCCTTGGCCTGAACCTGGCTCTCAGTATCCTTTGGTGGCCCAAGGTGTGGGAGGTTGTGAGTGGCTAGCACCCCGTGGAAGATGACCTACCATCTCTTCATTTGTCCCTTGACACTCTCATCAGATCCGTTCGAATACTACATGTTCTTCTTTGCTTTGAGCCTCATCTCTCAAAAGGTGCAGCAGGGCTGCCTCTGAGTGCAGCTTGTCCAGATACCATAGTGGTGGGCCAGGGCAAGATCTGGGTGTGCCTGTGATTGCCGGGGCCCAGAGCACTCATAACAGTTTTGGTTTTCTAGCCAATGCCTACGCCCCTCCATGTCCGCACCTCAGACTGTGCCTATTTCATCCTCGTGGACAGGTACCTGTCATGGTTCCTGCCCACTGAAGGCAGCGTGCCTCCACCCTTCTCCTCTAGTCCAGGGGGATCCAGCCCGTCACCAGCTCCCAGGTAAGGCCGCCTTGACTTGTAAGACCTAGTTCTTCTACAGGGAGTGGCCTCAATAATGCTATTGCCTAAGCATTGCCCAGTTAAGTATTGCTATTTATGTCCAAGGTTCCCTAACTTTTCTGGGGTACAATTCTCAGCTTCTCTTGCCTGGCAAAGACAGGAGGGGTTAAGATTTGTCTTGGTTTCATTTGCAGGGCCAGTGGCCCTCAGTGCAGATGCAGGTCTGAGTGCTGCCAAAGCAGTGAGTAGGGTGGAAGGGGAGGGATGGTCACAGGAATAAGTAGGCCAAGGGGGAGAACCTGGAGAACCTTTTATGCTCGGCCATACCAGCTAAGCCTGATAGGTTTCCACAGCTGGAGGTTCAGCCTGAGGGTGGCCCAAGGCCTCTCTGTATGCTTGTTCTGAGGTTTTTGGTGGGTCCTTAGCCCAGAGCATCGTCCATTCTTAGGAACCCTTCTGCCCCAGCAGGAGCTGTCTGTGCTCCTCTGCTCCCTCCCTGACCTGACTGGCCCACTATCTGCTCTAAGAGGCCATAGACAGGGACTGACATAGGTTTTTGGTCCATCTCATGTCTGCTGATCTGGGCATCCCAGGTCAGTCCTTCATCTAAAACTAACCATGTGGGCAGATGTCCTCATGCAGGTAGACCTGGGAGGTGAGGCTGCTGAGGTCTCAGCTGGTGATCTGACCCGGGTACCGTGGCAGTGCTGTAGCTGGGGAGAAGGGCTTGGGGGTCTAATAAATTCCTACCTCTCCAAGGCTGAATTCAGGTGCTAAATTATTTGCCCTGACCTAGTATGTGGCTTGCTTTAGCCTCTCATTTTGAAGGAATGCCACACTTACAGAAAAGTTGTCAGATGGACTTTCACAGCTTTTTAACCCGAATTTCCAAATGGTTGACACAGCTACGGCCCTCATCTTCAGTCTGTTTGTAAAGAAAATGTGGTTGGTTGGTTGGTTGATTTTGTCCAGTCACTCACAATGTGTAGCCTAGGCTGCCTTCAAATTCAGGATCGTCTTGCTTCCACCTCCTGAGTGTTGGGTTACAGATCTTTGCCTCCTTCCCTGGCATATGGCATTCAGCGTGTTTCCTAGAAGCCATCACTTTCTTGAGGGAGCACAGAGCATCTGACCTTGGGAAGGCAGCACTACCCAGCCATCATCAAATCCAGAGAGTAGCTTAGTGCTCACCACCAGCTACCCCGCCCCCGCTTGCTGCCTGGAGTCTGGTACTTGCCAGCTTGCTCCTCAGGGCTTCCTCAGCCTGCTTCCTAATGTAACTCAGGACCATCTACACAGGGGTGCCCCCGCCCCCGCTATTGCCTGTGTCCTCCTGTATCAACTACTAAACAAGAGAACGCACGACAGACTTGTCACAGGCAGTTTTATTGAGGGCATCTTTTCAATGGAGGTTCCTCTTCCCAGATAACTCTAGCTTGTGTCAAGTTGCCAGAAAACTAACTAGGACAGAAGTCATCTCTGTGCCCCTTGGGTCCTTACTTTTCATATACCTCTTGACTGTGGCAGAGGTCCCTAGGTGTGTTTGGCAGGGTGGGTGTAGGCACTTCCTTCTTTCTGTACCTGCTCATCCCTCAGCCCGGCTTGGGCTGAGTAGATAGGGTCACAGCAGTGATGTGATAACCTCAAGCTCTTCCCACTGTCCCGTCAGATCTTTGCTGACTCTGCTCCTTTAGTGGTGGCAGGTGCTTGTCATTGTGCTTAAGGATGCTGACCAGGATTTCTACTGTAAAGTCAAATCTGTACCTGATTGAGGACTTGGTGGGGAAGACTGTCAAATCATTTATGTTAGCATATTCTAGTCTCAGTTACGCAGGTATTATAGAGCATGCTGTAAGCTGGGACTTTCTGGTCCCATCCCTCTTACTTGTTAAGTGGACAGTCTATAATAAGGATGTCAAGTTTATCAGTGTGGACCTTATATTGCTATAACTCAGTATGTTGTAGTTGACCGTTGGTGTCAGCAGAGGTCCCTAACTTACTATTGTCTCTGTATCTCCTGTCAGGACGCCAGCCATGCCCTTTGCCTCCTATGGTCTTCACACTAGCCTCTTGAAGCGACACATCTCTCATCAGACATCTGTGAATGCAGACCCTGCCTCTCATGAGATCTGGCGGTCAGAAACCCTCCTCCAGGTAAGAAGAAAGGAGGCCTGTTTCTGTTTCAAAACAAACTGCCTTGCACACTTAGGGGCAGAATCTCAAAATACCCAGTCTATTGGGACCTGGGTCTAAATGTCATTTTCTTGCTGTGGCATTTAGACAGCAGACAAGGAGACAATGATGTACTCCTGTAAGCTAAGTGTCATAGACACTATTTTCTGTTCCAGATTTCCCTATCCACAGTTGTTTTTCTCACAAGGATCTGTTCATTCACCAGTCTTCTAATCCCCAACAGATCCATCCATGTATGTGTTCCGTATACACTACCTATGGCTTAGAATTCAATGTCCATGTACCTCAGCATCCTACATGAACCTTACCCTTTTCAAGTAATGTTAACCTTTTCAAGTGGTTGTTGGGCATCTGTGTGCCTATGTGAGTTTATATGCGCCGTGCATGCAGTTACCTGCAGAGGGCAGGAGAGGGCATCAGATTCCTTGGAACTAGAGTTACAGACGGTTGCAAGTCACTGTGGGAGCTGGGAACTGAGCTACAGCAAGAGTAGCAAATGCTCTTAACTGCTGAGGCCCTCCAAACTGCATTAAACATATCTTTTTTTAACTCTGACAATTCCATAGATGCATGCAGTAGTCCTCCCTCTACTCCTCCCAATCCCCATTCCCTACTTCTTCCTGCTTCCCATGCTTGCTTTCCCTTCCCTTCCCTTCCCCTTCCCCTTCTTCCCCTTCCCCTTTCCTTTCCTTTTCTTGCTTTTGTAATTCGGAGTTCAGGCTGTACGCAGTTCATGTACTTGTGAGCATGGGGTTATTTCTTGATGCTCAGTTGACCTGGGAGCTGCACCATCAAAGAACAGCACCTCCCCTAACACATACTCACAGAAGTTATCCATTGGTAGCTCTTAGTTAGGGTAGGCTTGTGAGCTCCTGCCTCTTTCCGTGCTGGGATGTTGCCTGGTGTGGTCTGTACTAAGTTGGTGCAGACAGCCACAGCTGCTGGGAGTTGATGAGTGCACTGGTCCTGTCATGGCCTAAAGTCACCTGACTCCAGTTTTTCCTGACCGTTGGCTCTGATAACCCTTTAGCCCCATATTCCACAGTGCTCCCTAAGCTTTGAGGGAAGTGCAAAAAACACATTTTATATTTAAATAAAATATATTATTTTTTTTAAAAAACTAACCCTTTATTGCTGTTCTTCGTTTTCCTTTCGTCCTAGCCCCCAGGAAGCACTATTTTGCTTTTATCTCTAAAAATTTGACTACACTAGGCACCCTGTTTCTAGATGATTTATCTAGATTACAGAGATTATTTTTGTGACTGGTTTGCATAATTTAGCATAATATCCTCAGGGTTCATTTTTTTAATTCATTTTATTTATTTTATGTGCATTAGTATAAAGGTGTCTGATCCCTTGGAACTGGAGTTATAGACAGTTGTGAGCTGCCATGTGGGTGCTGGGAATTGAACTCAGAACCTCAAGAAGAGCGGACAGTGCTCTTAACCACTGAGCCATCTCTCCAGCCCCAGGATTCATTCTTGTAGCATGGATTTCCTTCCTTTTACTGGACTTGGTGGCATATACTAACTGGTAATCCCAGACTTAGGTAGCTGAGATAGAAGGATCCCAAGTTCAAGGCCAGCCTGCACTGCATAGTAAAAACTTGTCCCAAAAGCAAACAAATAAAATCTCTCTCTCTCTCTCTCTCTCTTTTTTTTTTTCCTTGCCTGCATGTAGTCTGTGTGAGGGTGTCAGAAGCCCTGAACTGCAGTTACAGACAAGTGTGAACTGCCATGTGGTGCTGGGTCCTATGGAGGAACAGCCAGTGCTTTTCAACTGCTAAGCCGTCTCTGGCCGAAAATCTTATTTTTAATGGTCAAATAGTACTCTGCTTTATGGCTGTCTCCATCCGTCTGCCTGTAGACATTTAGCCTGCTATGAATGTGCGAGTATCTGCCTTTAGATTTATTTAGTTTTACTTGTATTTATATGTGTGTGTGTGTGTGAGTATGTGCCATGTGACTACAGAGGCCAGAAGAGAGTTTTGCACCTGAACTGCCTGAATGGGTGCTGGGAACTTAACTGGTCCAAGGTCCTGTGGAAAAGCAGCAAGTGCTCATAACCATTAAGCCTTCTCTCTAGCATCCAGCTTGTAGATCTTTGGATTATAATGTACCTAGAAATAGCACTGTGAGATCATATGGAAAGCCTGCTTAGTACTGTTTTCTGAAGTCAGTATCATGTTACTCTCAGCTTTTTTTTTTTTTTTTTTTTTAAGTGTCTGTTTTGCCTTCATGTATGTCTGTGCACCATGCTCACATCAGAAGAGGGCAGCAGGTCCTCTAGAACAATAGTTACAGGTGGTTGTGAGCCATCATGTGGGTGCTGGGAACTGAGTAGTTACTGTGGGCATGATGTAGTGTCATTTTGATTAAAGGCAGGGTCTCACACTGTAGATCTGGCAGCCCTAGAATTTGCTGTGTAGACCAGGTTGACCTTGAACTTAAAGAAATCTATCTGCTTGTCTAGAGTGCTGAGATGCATATCCAGCCTTGTTTTTTGTTTGTTTTTGATACAAGGTTGATTGAGGTTTTTTGTTGTTGTTGTTTTATGTTTTATTTATTTATATATGAGTGCTTTGTCTGCATGAACACCTGCACACCAGAATATGGCATCAGATCCCATTATCGATGGTTGTGAGCCACCATTTGGTTGCTGGGAATTGAACTCAGGTCTTCTGGAAGATTAGCCAGTGTTCTTAACCACTAAGCCATCTCTCCATATATAAAGCTGAATTTTTAGCTTTATATATGCTACATAGAAATTCCTTATTAGGTACAGAGTAGAGGGGTTTCAAGTATTTTCTCCTCTTCTGCAGATTGCTTTCACTCTAGTAAAAGTGCTTTTGTTGCACTAAAGGTTTGTTTTTGATGACATCTCTATTGTCTTTTTTTTTTTTTTTTTTTAATAAACTTCAAAGGAGTTATGGCCAAAGCTTTGCCCCATATTTTCTTCTGAGTTTTGTGGCTTTAGTTCTTGTCACTGTTCCATTTTGCATTAATTCTTATGTGTGGGATCGGGTACTTCACAGCTTCCTTCTTTGGCATGTGGGCAGCCTGTTTCCAGCACCATTTGTTGGAAAGCCTTCGTCACCATTAAATGGTGTAGTGCCCTGTTGACAGTTTCATCAGTTAATGCCCTTTTGCAGGTTTTTGTTGAAATGTGGCTTCATCATTACTCCCTGGAGATGTACCAAAAAATGCAGTCCCCTCATGCCAAGGTATGTTTGCATGGTCATCATTCCATCTCCTGTCTCATGCCCTGGCTAGCCTGCTGTATGTTGTCCTCAGCATGAGTCCCTTGTCTCACCTTGGATGGAGGGAAGCAGAAGCCCATTTGGTCAGCCTGGGATACTGTACATAAGATGTGACCCTTGAGCCTGAGGTCTGTCCTCTCTGGGGTCCCCCGTGCAGCTCCACAGCCCCTTCCCAGCATTGGGAATGGCTCGGCCTGATGCTCTTGGTCTTCTGGGACAGACAGAACTGTGGGTCCCTTTGGGTTCCATGTCTAGTTTCTCCACTGCATTAACAGTGCCCAGATACTTTGAGGTGGCCCTGAGCAAGGTCCCTACGTGCTGTGGTGACCGTATACCTCTTTGGCCTGCTTGCTCTTCTGAATTGCAAATCATCAGCAAGTAGCCATTTGTGGTGTGTGGGCTCTAGGATCCTCCTGCATGTGCTCTAGCCTGCTTCCTCCTCCTCTTCCTCAGCCTTTCCCGTACCTTCCTCCCATCTCATGTGCAGAGATGTGGAGGTGGCAGAGTCCCTGGAAACTGCTGGTGGTGGTGTCCCTTGGGCAAGTACTCTAGTGGGCTAGTCAGGTAAAAGAGTTACGTTCAATTAGTGAGTGGCCTGGTGGGTATTGAGAGTGTCAGAACCACCCACAGGCAGCATCAACACACATGCTGCCCGCGTCCCCTTACTCGGTAGACTCCCCTGTCACTGCTAGGTGGGTTCTCAAGCACTTGCTTTGAAGTGTGCGTGGGTGGTGGTATGCACATGGAGACACGCATCTTGTGAGTGGATAGTGAGCCCTGTGCCCTGTTACCACAGAGTTCCGGAAGCTCCAACATTCTTCAGTGTTGCTGGGCACAGTGGCGCATGCCTATAATCCCAGAGGCAGAGGGGGGTGGATAGCTGTGAGTTTGAGACCAGCCTGGTCTACAGATCTAGTCCAGGACAGCCAAGGCTACACAAAAAAACTCTGCCTTGAAAAACAAAACAAAACAAAAATCTGCTATGTTGAAGATGGAGACTCTCTCCTACTACTCTCAAAGTGAAGAGCCCCCAAATCTCCAATCATGGCATCATAATGGGGAAGGAGGGCAGGGAAAGGCTGAAGATTTCTCCTGGGCCTTGTGCACTGCTGAGAGCCTGTGATACCCTCTCTGCTTCCAGCCAGACTCACTCACGCTCTGGCTGGCACATGGAAGGATGGGACTGGGCTTCCCCAGGTTCCCAGGGCCCTCAAGCTGGCTCTCCCGTGTCCACGTGGCTTGGCCTTGCTAATGCAACTTGCTTTGCTGCAGTGTCTTCCTGTTTCACCTGCTCTTTTTCCAGTGAGTGGAAGCCACACCTGCTTTCAAGAGCCAACCAGAACAGCCCTTCTGGATTGTCCCCTCTGATGATTCTGTCTTCCGTGGTCAGAGGGAAGGGTCAGTGGCTGTCTCTGTGGGGAAGGAGGTACTTCCCTCTTGTCCTCACAATTGCTTCCTCTTGTCCAGACTTTGGGGAAGATATGCTGGGAAGGTTGGTGCTCCCTGGCCAGGCTCTGTACTTTTCTGCCTTTTACTGAGACAGAACATAAAACTCAAAGGTTTCTAGAGGCTGGAAACCAGGAGAGACAGCTGCAGAAGCTGCACTCCTCCACAGCGCCATCCTGTTTTGGGGCCTGTACTGAGCCTTCAGAAATCACCAAGTCTTTACCAAGCCCTGACAGCCACAGTGCAGAAAATTTGCTACCTGAGATTCCGCTCTGTGATCAGACCAGGTCCAGAGGACATGTTCACTGCTGGTGACTGGGAGCGGTGTGGGTGTGGCCTACAGGAGCCTGGGACCTGCCCTGTGCTCCTCTGTGAAGAAGCCTGCTACCTCTATGCACTGCTGCTGAGCCTGGGTCTGGCACAAAGGAAGCCTGTGTGGAAGAGCCTTTGCTCCCCTCACTGGAGCTTCTGGCTGCCAAGTCCATTCTTTCCTCTCCTTTGCAGTTGATGGCATGCTAGTTGGGCATGTGTGCTGGCGTTGGGCTATGCTTTGATGAAGGAGCGCTTTAAGAGGCAGCTGTGCTGCAGGGAGGTAGGGTGCTTGAGTGGGGCCAGGAGGCTTGCTGGCTTGACTGTTGCCTCTGCTGTCCTGGGCTGCCCCAGCCTCTAGGGGGTGTGACTGCCAGGTTCTTGAGGGTTCTGTCCCTTGGGAGCCCTGTGTGCCTAGTGAAGTGGGAAAGGCTGTCTTCCTCATTGGAACTAGTCAGCACCCCACCTTTACCAGTGTCCATTGTAGGGACAGAGAACAGCATGGTGGACTGGGCCTGGGTCCATCTCCTTAGGTCTGGGAGAAACATTAATGGTTTTGGATGGATGAGAACTGATGGTGTTATATACTTACCTACCGATTTGGTCAATATATTCTATTCCCCTTCCCCTTTGCTGGTACTGGGGACCGAAACTAGGGCCTCATATGTGCTAGGCAAGCTCTTTATCACTGAGCTATATTCCAACAAATTTAATAAAATTCTTGTCAAACCAACCCATGGAAGCCCCTAAATACTCCCTCACTTAGTATCTGAGGGACAGCCTCGGCCTGCTCCCCAGTAGCCCTGATTCTTTGCATCCTTAATTCCCTTTATAAAATGTTCTTGCACATGACTGACCTGTCCTGACCTCCCCTACATGTGCCTGTAACCCTGGCACTCCTGTAGCTGAGGCAGAATTACCAGTTCCGTGGCCATAGGCTGCATTGTGACACCCAGTTTCAGAACAAAACAACATAATTGAAGACTGCTTACAACACCTCAGTCACACATTCAGGACAGGTTGATCGGATCCATGGGAGCCTGGGACCTGCCCTGTGCTCCTCTGTGAAGAAGCCTGCTACCTCTACGAACTGCTGCTGAGCCTGGTGGACAGAAGACCAGCTGTCCATTTACCTCCCTTGCACAGTCCTCCTGTGCTTTGCTCAGAGGCTTTTTTTTTTTTTTTTTTTTTTTTTTTTTTCTGAAAATCAAGACTTGCTGGGTCTTGGTAGCAGCAGCATGTCCCAGTGACAGTGCAATCCTGGGCTTTGGTGGCTGCTGTGTGCAAAACTGCCACATATATAAGCACACACCATCTTCTTAGGGACTGTGTTATACTTGAAAGCGGCTGAGGCCTCAGCAGCCCAGGACCTCCTGGTGATCTTGTGAGGGCTCACAGTGGGGTAGGTGGTCTTGAGGGTCCCGCTGTCTGAGCTAGGCTTACCTGGGGGACCTGGGGCTGCTGGGCACAGTTGGTTGGGTATTGTCACTGATGAACTTTTGTTCTTGTTTTTTGTTTTTTTCTCCTTTGTTCTTTCTCTTGGGCTCCTTGTGTTTTCTTTCCCCACCTTCCTTCCCCTTCCATATCTGATTACTTTCCATTCCCCACCCTATATGTCCTCCAATCTGCTTCTTGGCCTTTCTCTGTTTGTTGTCTCTCAGTTGGAGGTTCTACACTACCGACTCAATGTCTCCAGCGCCCTCCACAGCCCTGCCCAACCCAGCCTCCAGGCCCTCCACGCCTATCAAGTACTGGCCTTTTCTTCCCTCCCCCTGCCCCAAGGTGGGCGCAGTGTGTGTTGATATAGTGCCAGAGTAAGGGGTCCCAGAAGTCCTGAGCAAATGAAGCCAATATGTTAGAGGCAGGCCCAATTCAGCCTTCAGCGTGACTTGCCCTTCAGGTTTGCAGGCTAGCCTGGTTTTTGGTGTGTGGCCATGTGGTGGTGTGAGGTGCACAGCCTGGCTGGCCGTAGATAATGAAATCTTCCTCCTAAGGCCCTAGCCTGCAGAGCTGTCTCAGCTTCTCTGGTTTTGTGAGGGAGCCTTGCAGTGGTCTGACTTAGCCTCACAATTCAGAAGGCTTATATGAGATATGGCTCCTGCCCTGTTCAGACCTTACAAAGCCTGTGCAACGCCTGGGTTCAGCCCCCAGAGGCCAGGCTGGCTTTATGGCACTCACTCTGGAGATGACCCATTAACCCACTGATCATATGATAGGATTGATACCCCTCAAAAGGGTAGGGAGAACATGGGCTCCCCCAGAGCCATTGGGGCCGTCCTTCTGTTGAGTGCAGCCATTTACAGACTCCTTCAGAGGCAAATGAGCGCAAGCGGTGACTTCGCGGAGATTGCTGCCTGCTTAGGCAAAAATGGCCAATGTGTGAACGGATTTGAGGTCAGTAGAGTGGAGTTCAGACCTCAGGTATTTGGGGGAATGGAGTTGGCTGATTTGTGAGAACCTGTGGGAATATGGAGATGTGCTCCCCAACAGTGCTGTGTCTGATTTACCCTGGGGAAGAACACCTAACAGTTGACATTGAACTTGAGCAAAGATGAGAAAGCAGTGCTTGCCATTTGCTGGCTTGGGGTCATAAATGCTTCCCACAGTGGAGTTCCTGCTCAGGAGCACCAGCTAGTGAGTAGTTCCTGTGGAAGGGCTCAGCAGTGAAGCAGGTCCCTGGGTAGAGCCCCTGTGAAGATGACGGGGGGGGGGGGGGGGGCGGGGCATAGTGGGAAATGCTGTGGGCTTTGGAACCACATTCTTATGTCATTACAAAGTGCAGGTGGCACTGGGGACACCTACAATGCCCCTCTAGCATATGAGCCTCCACCCCTACACCACGGGAGAGGGGAGAGGGGCTGGGAAGGGTGGCTAGAGCTGGCCGTCTGGACCCTCCATCAGAAGCCGGGTAAGATGTGGCAGTGCTTGCTGCTAGCGGAGGTGCGCCTCCTGGGACCGAGCTGCTGGCTTTCGAAGCTGAGGGACTGAGCTGATGTCACTGCTCAGAGTGGCTGAGCTGCCAGGAGAGGAGCTGAGAGAAGGATATTAGCGGGAGCTAGCCTAGCCTGGTGGTCTTTAGTATTGATTAGTCTGTGTGATGACTGTATGTTCTAGTCTGTTTTCTATTATCAAGTGTTACAGACTAGTCAAATAAAGACCAGAGTTTTTTGTTTTTCTTTATACTCAGTGCTGGTTCAGAATGGGGGTGCGGGGTTACATCTGATGATGGCTTTAGTGCTGGCTGATGTCATGGAAGGAGACAAGTGTTGTTGAGACCAAAGTGGGATCAGCACTTGCTTGTGAGGAGGCTGTGGGCAGATTGCCAGCTTGAGGCTAGGCTGAGCCCCTAGCTGAGTGCAAGTGTCTCAGAAAGTGCAAGGCTGGGGCAGCTCTGTGCCTAAGGCCTCAAAAAACCTGTTCCATCCCAAGAGGCCAGACTGGCTTTTTGGCACTCACTCTGGAGATGGCCCATTAACCCACTGATCATATGATGGCTTTGATCTGTCCTGAGATTAGAACCCTGATCAGAACCCTCTTATCACCAGGGTAAGATCACCAGGCCCCACCTCTTAATATTGTATTGTGGGAATTAGGTTAGCTCTCATGTTTCAGAGGGTGTAGGCTTTGTCACTGTGTCTCATCTGTCCTTTCTCTGAAGCAGCAAAAATTTGCTTCAGGAAGCCTTTAAAATTGTGAAACGCAGAAGAGAACAACCCCTCCTTAGGTTAGCTAGTGTGGTGCCACCTGGACTGGAGGGCCTTTTCTCCCTCTTTCTTTTTGAGACAGTTTTATTATGTTGCCTTGACTGACCTGCTAGGTAGACCATGGTGGCCTAGAACTTATGGCAGTCCCCCTGTCTCAGCCTTCCAAGTGATGGGATTGCAGGTGTGTGTCAGCATTCCCAACCACTGTGGAGGCATTTTCATGACAGAGAGGCCTGAGTGGACAGAGCCTATGTATGGTCTCATGGATTTATGTGTGTCGCAGGGCCCAGGCCCTTTGTCAGCCTTAGCCTCACAAGTCATCAAGGCCCAGTGGATGTGGGGCATGAGGATGTGCCTGACTGTACTCACTCTTGCCTCCAGATGGTATCTCTATTCCCTGCCCACAAGCCACTCCAAGCACCACCTACACTCATGCTCAACAACCAGAGAGCCCAAGAGCCAGTAAAAGGCTCCTTTTGGTTCAAAGATCATGTGCTTGTGTGGTGTATAAACTCAACTCACAAGTGTGAGAATGCTCTTGTCCTGGGGTCTTGAGCTGACTATAGGCCCATTGGCAGTGGTGGAGCCACTCCCTGTCTTCTTCCAGAGTTGAGTCCCTGTCTGGCTATGACCAAGACAGGCAGCTGGGAAGGGCTGGGATTGTAGCTGGAGAAGGAACTGGGGAGAAGAGACGTCGGCTTGGGCAAGGTGGGCCCTGGTGAGCTTTCTGCATGATGAGAGGCAGGCAGACTACCTTGGGTCCAGAGCTTAAGGGGCTAGCAGCACCCCTGTTCTCACCCTCATTCAGCAGAAAACAGGGCCCTGAGGTTCATGTCCAGATGCTGCCATGTGGGGTGTGAGGTGCTTTTTGCTGACTTGTCTGCTTTCACCAGCCCAGGGCAGGCACAAGGCCACATGCCTCCTTGCTGTGAGCTGGTGTCAGGTCTTTCAGCACGGGATGACCTGCCTGGCCTGGTGGTTGTCTCCTGTGGGGCTGCAGAGCCACTAGACGTGGGCAGAAGGGGCTGTAGATCTCATCTGGCCCTGACACCCCACCTCCTCCCTAGGAGTCCTTCACGCCCACCGAGGAGCACGTGCTGGTGGTGCGCCTGCTGCTCAAGCACCTGCACGCCTTTGCCAACAGCCTGAAGCCAGACCAGGCCTCACCGTCGGCACACTCCCATGCCACCAGTCCCCTCGAGGAGTTCAAGCGGTGGGTGTACGGTGTGGTGGGGCTCCTGGGCCTCTACTTCCCTTATGTCTACTGTGACTGATCCCTGTTGGCCTCTTTGAGGCCAGAGGCTGGGGCTGCCTGGCTGCTTCTGCTCTTAAAGCCTTCTCTCTAGAGCAGTGCTTCTCAGCCTTTCTAATGCTGCATCTGACCCTTTAATAAGTTCCTCGTGTCGTGGTGACCCCATCCATAAAAGTATTTAATTGCTACTTCATAACGGTAATTCTGCTACTGTTTTGAATTGTAATGTAATATGCGATCTCTGTGGTGATCGGGACCTGCAGGTGAGAGCCACTGCTCTAGAAGCTCCCTGTGCAGTGGGAAGAGTTGGCTGAACAGAGGTCACAGCCTTGCTGTTCTGTCTTATCCCTTAATCCTATCCCTTAATCCTAGTGCCAGAGCCTGATTTCAAAGACTACTTATGTACTGTGTTCTTGACCTCTGGTTTCTTCTGGGGAACCAGGCTAGGAACCTATCTTACTTCAGGAGTGTGTTCAGTGTTTACTACTGGGAGCCAGTAAAAAGCTCAGAAACCAGGGCTGGCCCTGTGAACAGGCACACACTCCTGGACAAGTGACAGCTGGTGGTCCTCCTGTCCCAACAGGGCTGCAGTGCCTCGGTTTGTCCAGCAGAAGCTGTATGTCTTCCTGCAGCACTGTTTTGGCCACTGGCCTCTGGATGCATCCTTCAGAGCCGTAAGCACCTGTCCCTAACCCTCACCCCCACTGTTTTTCTCTGTGCCGTGATGTTGACAGCCTGTGGGGTGGGCTGACAGGACAGGAGGGGCAGTCATCGCAAGCCTTAGAGATGATGCCTCAGTGAGTCGTGTCGTTCGTGTTGTTCTGTTGGCCCTTGGGTACAGAAGACCCATGCGCGGCTCCCACGGCCCTTTCTGAGGGGCTGGCACGAGGTACTTGAGTTCCTGTAGGGTGTTTTTTGGAACATTGAGGAGAAGCTGCTCACTCACTGGCATTGACACTGAAGTCTGGGAAGAAGAGTCCAGAGCCGGGCGGGACGGTAGCCCCTCAGCTGTGGCACCCATATTTGTATGGACTGTCTTTAGAGCCAAGTCCAGATCACCAAACGGTGACCTGGAAGTCAAGTACATCAGCCTACAACCACAGGCCTTCAGGGCATGTATGTTCCTCCTAGGTCCTGGAGATGTGGCTGAGCTACTTGCAGCCGTGGAGGTATGCCCCTGAGAAGCAGGCTCAGGGCAGTGATTCCCAGCCACGGTGTGTGTCGGAGAAATGGTGAGCGCCCCAGTGATGCCATTGCCATCTCCAGCAGAAACTGCTTGGAAGGACAGGTGCTCAGCTCAGCATCTCGCTGTGCTTCAGGCCTTAAGGAATGAGCACATGGTGACCCTGGGAACCATCTCCTTGCTTTGGCCTAGCCTGGCTCCACAGTCACTCTACCAGCACAGACTAACTGCCATGTCCTCATCATCTTTTCTCTGTGGTACTGAGGTTCCTCTGGCCTTCCCTTTCCTGGGCTCCAGGCTTGCCCATCGTGTCCTGTTCTAGTAGACCTTGCCGTGGTGCCCATGGCCTCCTTGAGAATGTCATGTTTGATGCTCGCTTGTGTTAGAGGACTGAGCTGTTCTCCCCTTACATGCCTAGTGTCTGTGACTCCCTTGTCTGGCAGCAGCAGCTGGGGGATCAGGAAGGGTGAGGTGTAGGGAGTGAGTGTGGCCCCTGCCTCAAGATGTCTACACCATGGTCATGCCGCCACCTGTCTCCAGGGCACCCTTCATCCAGGAAAACCTGCTGATGTACACCAAGCTGTTTGTGAGCTTCTTGAATCGTGCACTCCGCACAGACCTTGTCAGCCCTAAGAACGCACTCATGGTATTCCGGGTGGCTAAGGTCTTTGCCCAGCCCAATCTGACGGAGATGATCCAGAAAGGTGAGTCTTAAGCCCTGGGCCAGTTCCCCTTAGCTAGGCCCTTAGCTGCTGAGAAGCGGCATGCAGAGGAAGCCAAAGATGCTGTGCGTCTTGAGGATGCTCACTGGGAAATCTGAAGGGTTTTCACTTTTTTTGGTTTTGTTTTATGGCAGGGTCTTGTGCTATACTCATGGCCGGCCAGCAGACTGGCTTGGTACTATGCAGACCAGACTAGCCTCAAATTCCTGGCAATCCTCCACCTCAGCCTTTTGAGTACTAGGAATATAGGCTATTAATGTGTTCATGATGATCTTTTTAGTTGGGTGCATTGGTGCATGCCTGACACTGTAGCACTTAGGAAGATCAGGAGTTCAAGGCCATTCTCTAGGCATAGAAAGTTATAGAAGCCAGCCTGAAGGAGTGAGATTTTGTCTCAAAAAACAAACATAAAACCAACTCTCCTGAATGAATTATGTCCGAGGATAACTGCAAATTTCTTTTTTTCATATATGAAATTGTTTTATTACACTGTCATAGAACTGCCAGTTTCTTTAGACTCCCCGTGTTTATTCCTCATAGAAATGAAATGCGGCTTGGGACAGGCTGGCCTGGGGACTTTGCACATTAAAAGTGTGGTAAAATCTCTTAGCTTGGTTGAATGCCCCCTTCCTAGTGCAGGCAGCCAGGCAATGGCTGTCCTGAGCTCAGAGCTCAGGGCTCTCAGCTGTAGCTGTCAGAGCTGCTGACTGCCCCTGGTGACTGCTGCTGTGTGAGCACTTGTCTACTGTTGGGGTTGCTGGGGCTCCTAAGCCAATAGAGCTGGTTTCTCAAGCTACCACCCCCAGAGACAGTACACAGGTAGGGCCTGGAGGTTCAGCATTGTCACAGCGCTTCACAAACCTGAGCAAATACTCTAGAATCCTTCCTGGAGTACCTGGAAAGCAGGGTCAGACTCCGTGTGCATCTTGCTTTCTAGGTGAGCAGCTGTTCCTGGAGCCAGAGCTCATCATTCCCCACCGCCAACATCGTCTTTTCACAGTCACCAGCAGCTTCCTGTCACCATGGCCCCCAGTTGTGACAGATGCCTCCTTCAAGGTGAAGAGCCATGTCTACAGCCTGGAGGGCCAGGACTGCAAATACACCCCAATGTTTGGTCCTGAAGTTCGGAACCTGGTAAGTGGTCAGAGGTCCACCTGATGTGGAGTCCCTGAAGCTGTGAGGACCAGCAGAACCAGGGAAGGTGTTTTCTGTGAAGGGAGGGAAGAAGGAAGGCTGGATACTGAGCAGATGCTCTAAGCCCTCCCCTTCCTGCTAATGGCTAATTATTTTCTCATAATAAAGATTGTCCACCCCATTAATCGTAAGATGCCCCTTTTCTCTCTGGGTGGGCACTCTTCCTAGAGCTGGTTCCCCAGGCCCCCCCTGCCCAAATGGCAGGGACATCACCTCTTCTGGTGACCCCTTGAACCTGTTTGCTATGCCTGTGCCTTCCTCGCAGGTCTTGCGCCTTGCTCAGCTCATCACACAGGCCAAGCAGACTGCCAAGTCCATCTCTGATCAGTGTGTAGAGAGCCCAGCTGGCTCTTCCTTCCTGTCATGGCTGGGCTTTGGCCCCACAGACCCAAATAGCTCCTATCCTGCTAACGACCTGGATGAGATGGGTCAGGACAGCGTCCGCAAGACAGATGAGTACCTGGAGAAAGCCCTGGAGTACCTGCGCCAGATATTCCGGGTAAGCCCTACACGGGTCCTTCTGTGAGGGGCTCACTCCAGTGCGGGTGGAGCTCTCCCCTTCCTGCCCTTTGAAACTGAAAGCAGGAGCCTTCCTCTCTAGCTCAGTGACGCCCAGCTGACCCAGCTCACACTTGCCCTGGGCAATGCACGGGATGAGAATGGGAAGCAGCAGCTCCCAGATTGCATCGTTGGGGAAGAAGGACTCATCCTTACACCCCTGGGCCGCTACCAGGTAAACCACCTCTGTCAAAGGGCATGTGATGCTTACGTGATCTGTCCATGGAGGTGGGTTGCACGTGTTGTTTACAAAGATCTATGTATTTCTGGAGCTATACCCACTGCTTGGGTTTCTAGATCATTAATGGTCTTCGAAGGTTTGAAATTGAGTACCAGGGGGACTTAGAGCTGCAGCCTATCCGGAGCTACGAAATCACCAGTCTGGTCCGAGCGCTCTTCCGGCTGTCCTCTGCCATCAACCGCAGAGTAAGTGAGCAGCAGGGGCAGCTAGGATGCTTCTGGGCATAGCTTCCAGAGAGGACTCCTGCTCTAGGCAGCATCTTCCTCCTCCCAGCCCGCTTGATCCTGTGGGAGTCTGGGTGGAGAGTGAGCCTGTGAGAATCACCTAGTCCCAGAGGCACTTGGAAGGAAGGGTGCCCCGCTGTCCCCAGCTCTGCTGAATCCTAATTGTTATCCAGTTTGCAGGCCAGATGGCAGCTCTGTGCTCCCGGAATGACTTTCTCGGCAGCTTCTGTCGCTATCACCTCACTGAACCTGCCCTGAGCAACAGACACCTGCTCAGCCCTGTGGGACGGAGGCAGGCGGCCACTCCTGCCCGGGCCCCCAGGCTCAGCCTGCGTTTCCTGGGCAGTTACCGGACACTGCTGCTGCTCCTGATGGCCTTCTTTGTAGCCTCTCTGTTCTGCATTGGGCCCCTGCCCTGCTCCTTGCTCCTGGTCCTAGGCTACCTCTTCTATGCCGTAGCTATGACGCTGCTCACTGAGCGGGGGAAGCTGCACCAGCTCTGACCTGCTGGTTACTACTCTCTCCAGAGCAGACTTGCGGGCCTGAGAGGCCCTGGCTGGTGCTTTGAAGCTAGGAATAGAGGGGAGGTCATGTTCAGAGTTCTTGGCAGCAGTTTCCCTCCAAAGGAGGGGTTATTCAGAAGAACGCAGAGTAGGAAGAACATGGTCCAGGCAGGCCTGCCATGGATGGGATGGTGTCAGAAGGTTCATGTCTTGAGGACAATCAGTGCTGGGCTATGGGTTGCCTTCAGCCCAAGGTCCCACAAGCAGCTGAGCTAGCTATCAAGGCCTTTGTAAGCATCTTACTGTTTTGCTGTACAGAGCTCAGGAACTAGTGTGCCCACAGCAGTACAGACCTTGTGGGAGCTGAGCCTGCATAGGTCTTTCTGTGAGGTGGGCAAAATGGTATCTTCTCTCCGTGAAATACCAGGGCATCAGCTCAGTATCCACTCCAAAGGAGAAGCAAAATTTTTAAGAGACTGAGAAAAGTCAGCTTTTGATTCTCTTTAAACATCAATTTGCTACCACCTTTGGTCTTTGTTCTCCTGGCTAATCAGCCCTGAAGACCCCGAGCACCAGGAATGACAGGACAGGGCCTGGCACATGGGCCACAAGCCATTAAGTGAGCATTTTATTTAGAGTTGGTTCCAGGCCCACAGGGGCACATGGCAGGCAAGCATTGTAGATGGCCACTGGTCCTTAGCAGCTTGGGGATGGAGTTGGATTCTGCCAGCTTCTGTGGATGCAAGACTCAGCAGCATTGGTTTCACCCGTAAAACCAAGGACTTCAAGGGAAGCTCCCATCTGTAGAAATGCCTGTATGAAGAACCCAACCCCTCACATCAGCACTAAGACACCAAAGGCCTAATGTGACACTAGCAGCAGCACCATCTCCGTGGTGTTCTTAAACCAGTCCTTTGTTTTTAAAGAAAAAAAACTTTTTTCCTTCAAGTTTTATCACTGGGCCTTATATTTTGATGTAAGTTCAGAATACATCATGGGACCCATGACCAGAAGTCAACCCAAAATATAACTGACCAAGGATCCGAATAAACCATTCTTGCTTCGGAGACTTTCATCGTCTCGGCTGAATCTTTAGCGTGCTCACATGCATGGCGTCCCTGGAACTGTGGGCGAAGGTACTGGACAGAGTTCCTCTTTACCTGTGATGCAGTCCTTTCTGCCTGCAGGTCCTAGAGCATGTAGATTCAGTTACAGCAGAAACAAGGCCTGTGTTAACCTGACGTGGGGGCAGGCTCCCTGCTCAGAACTGGTTCCATCATCAAGCATCACCCACCTCTGCTTCCAGAAACTGGTTTTACAAGAATGTCTTCCCAGGCAAACCTAGAGAAGTTAGAAAAGGGAGAAAGGGGAAATGCGGATTCCAAACTCGGTGTGGAATATTTACACGAAACTAGCCCCTTTACACTAAAAAGATTAACCTACTCCCAGCATATGTCCTATGACCTTAAGAGAAGCCCTGGCTCTTTGTTTGCCTTGAGAAATGTCTTAAAACCCTGTAATCCTTTTGTGTTAAAAACAAACAAACAAAAAAACACAAAAAAAAAAAAAAAAAAAACAAAACTTATGTGAAGGAGCAATGCCTGTGTGTCTGCATCACATGCATGCATTGCTGGAGAGGCCAGAAGAGGGTGTTGGTGGGTGCTGGGGGCCAAACCCCAGACTGCTGTGTGCTCAACCAACTGCTGAACCATCTCTCCAGCCCTCAGAGGCTCAAGAGGCATGAGCAGCTGGATCTGAGCTGCACCAGCGAGCTCCAGGTCAGCAGTACAACCCTCTCACCGGGGAAGGGCAGTTGCCATTTGAGTGTCCAGAGCGCCACTCCCCTGGTCAGAGCCTCTGAATGACTAGCCCTTATCAATAACCCTGACTGTATTTTGTGTGGGGCCAGGAGGGGAAGTTAGAGAGTTTCTGGGTAGTTCAGGCTGACCTTTAACTCTTAAAGATCCACTTGTAGCTGGAGAGATGGCTCAGAAATTGAGAGCACTGTCTGCTCTTCCAGAGGTCCTGAGTTTAATTTCCTGCAACCACATGGTGGCTCACAACCATCTAAACCTTAACTGTTCACACATACAGACAGAGCATTCATATACACAAAAATAAAATCTTAAAAAAGATCCACTTCCCTGTTCCCCGAACCGAGATTAAAGGCGTGCACCTTGTCTTGTGTGTGTTCAGGCAGCTTTTTTTCTTTTTTATTTATGCCCACAAAGATTCTGTGAGTGTTGGGGGAAAAAAATTGAAACTATTACTGTGTATTCAAAAGTGAACTATTAAAATGAAAGACTAAGACTCAGTTTAGTACACACAGATAGTCCCAGTGATACATAGTTACATAGTCCCAATTAGTTACATAATTCCAAGCTGGCTTGCGCTACAGAGCGAGACCCTGTTCAAAAGTACAAGCCGGGCTAGGGTGATGGCTAAGTATAATGGTTTCTGCCCATGTATGAGGACCTAAATTCGGATTTCCAGCACCCACCTGATAAGTAGGGAAAGCGTGCACACACCCAGGATCTTAGCGCTGGGAGGCGGGGAGATGGGCGGATCCTGGGGCTCACGGGCCAGCCCAGCTAGCCACAGGGAGAGACCTCTAAAGGTGCGGATACCCCACGTGGAGCGCCGGTCTGCACACGCACGGGTCGCACGCACCGGCACACAGAGCACTGTAAAAGGCTATGGTTCTGGCGGGTTCTGGAGAGTTCAAAAGTCTGGCGCGTTGGTTCGGGCCGAACGCGGCCGAAGGCCCCGCCCCACGGCGCGCCACGCCTCGCCCCGCCCTCTCCGGCGCGCCCGTTCCCACGGCGACGGGGCGCCAGGCTCCAGCAGCCAGTACTGAGCGGCGGCTGCGCCTTCATGAGCGGGGCTGGGGTGGCGGCGGGGCCGCGGCCCCTCAGCTCCGCGGGCCCCGGCTCCCGGGGTGCACCACGCCCACGCCTGCGCCCTTCCGCCGGCCTGGGCCTGCAGAACGCAGGGACGCAGCCCGCTCCGAGTGAGGCACAGAAACGGATCCTGGACCTGGAGAAGAGCCTGCAGTTCCTTCAGCAGCAGCACTCGGAGACGCTGGTCAAACTCCACGAGGAGATCGAGCACCTGAAGCGGGAGAACAAGGGTGAGCCTCTAGGGCCTGGCCCAGCATTTGCAGCCCGAGGGCCACGGCCGTCAACTCGGAACAGCCTCTGGGTGCAGGGAAGGACGAGGGAGGCTTCTCTCTAGTAGGACCTGCCAACAGTCCTTTGCCCACCAGCCCGGACGAACGCTCACCCTCCTGTGCACTCTGCCCAGGGCACGATATGGCCCAACTCGTTGTTTAAAACCATTGCGGAAGTTAAGCACAGCAAATTCGAGTAAATGGTCGCCAACTAAACACGTCCTGTTCTTAGGCGGGGATCGCCTGGGTGCTGCCCCACACCCCTTCAGGCTGGCGCACCTTCTCTTGATGCTCCCCGCCCTGAGGTCTGGCCTACTCAGAACTTCAGGCTGCCCTGCTCCTCACTCTCTCACACCTCCTCCCACCCCGAGGTTTCTCTCTCTCTCTCTCTCTCTCTCTCTCTCTGCTGCTGCTGTCTTTTATCTAGAGTGCCAAAGATTCTCTCACTTGGGCACCTTATTAGTCCTTATTAGGACTATGTTTTCTTGAGGCTCACCCCGTGGACTGACCAGCCCCATGGCACACCCCACTTACCATTGCTCCTGGAAGGCTAGCCATCCTGCCTCACTGCAGCAGCCCTGCAGCCCTGCCCCTGCCTGGCCTAGTGGATGGGCACCTTGCAGGTGTTGGGCATGACAGGGATCAGCCAGAGGCATTTCTGGTCTGAGATGCCTGAGGTAAAGGCTTGGTGAAAAAAGCTGGTTGGGACCCATGGGAAGAGCAGGCCACACTTCTGTTCCAAGTGGACGTAGCTCTTAGGTGTGATAAGGAGCATTTGCTTGCTTTCAGATCTCCACTACAAGCTAATCATGAATGAGAAGCCTCAGAAAAAAGGTAGGACTCAGGTGCTTTCAGGGAGTTACCGCTCGTGCCCGTCACTCATGCCCATCTGCATGCTCACTCAGAGGGGACCAATTCTGGGTACTTGGAGAGATGCCACTTTGCCCAGCCACAGCTGGCTTGCCTGCTTTCAGCACCAAAGGCATGAGGTCTGTGCAGCAGGGACCGTGGGGAGGCTGCACACCCTCCCTCTGCTGAGCAGAACTCCTGAAACAGGAGCGGCCCTGTGGCAGACCCTGGGTCTCAACCCCAGTGCATGGCTGCTATGGTGTCCATCCCTGGTTCCCCAGCTCTGTACCAGGGTGCCACTGATTTCTTCCACTTGAGTGAGGTGTCTCTTAGCACAATCTCTTTGAGAACTCCCTCCTGCCATCTCCATAGCAACCACAGGGACCTGAGAACTGTAGCCTGCAGCCAAAGCAAGTCCTCCTGCCCACAGTGGCTTGGCCTTCTTGCTGGCCTTCCAGCATACACAGCCCAAGGACCACCAGCTGAGTTCCTAGCTCCCCTCCTCTAATACATTTTCAGATCATCAGGTGATCTGAGGGTTAAAGATGTCTGCTTGGAAATATCCCGGCCCTGGCATGCCCAAGTTCCCTCTTCCTGAGCCCAGTGCAGCCAGGCTGGTAGCCCTGGCAAGATGGAGGGGTGGCAGTGGGGGCTGCGCTTGGCCCAGCCCTTCCTTAGGACCCGCTGCTCCTTTGGTCAGGGGTCCTCTGCTTTGCAACTGGCCCCTGCAGACACCTCTCGTGGGGTCACTGTTTGCATGGTGTGCACATCATCTAGGAGTGTGGAGCTCCCGTAAGGGAGTGTGGAACACAGCCCTGCTTTGAGCAGAGTCGAGCCACAGGTAGTGGACAGAAGTGGGTTCTCAGCCTGAGCCCTGCATCTTCCCACAGGAAGCATCTCCACATTGAGCCTTCCGTCCGGCAAGTCCATCTCTAATTCCTCAGTGTCCGGTGAGCCAGGGCCCAGGCTGGGAAGTAAGTGGGAGGTGTTGCCTAGAGAGTTGAAAACCCTTCTCTTTGGCAAAGGGGCTGGTCCTGATATCCTATGTACAGAAACAACCAGGAAGGAGACCGGGAGTCCTTGAGAGGAGGCTCTACAAGCAGGACAGGGCCTGGCTGTCAGTGTAGCATAGCCAGGCGATGTCGCAGGCCCACCCAGGTCGGTAGTGAGTAGCTGTGCCAATAACAGAGGAACTCAAGTACCTTCTAAGACCCTATCCCACCTCCTCCTGGGAGAAGGGTATGTGCTCCACCGATGGCTGGCCCCCACCCCTGCCCATGACATCTCAGGGACAAAATAAGCAGAGCCTCTTCTCCCATTCACCTACAGGAGGCTAGACAGCTTCATTAACTGCAGGCCCTGTTGACCAGCAGACTTTGGAAAATAAACCCACGCAGGCCAGATCCCAGACCCCCCCGCCCGCCCCTGGTTTGCTCCACCCAGATTGGAAGCCTGCACGCAGCACTGTGATTCCTCTGGCACATTCAGCAGGCAGCACCACAGGCCTCACTCTCAGAACTTCACTCCTTCCTCTCTGCAGCCCTCTGGAGAGACTTTCCCTCTCTTTAGTACAGTGGAGGAAACTGATGCAGGGTCAGGGCTCTTGGGTATATTGACTGAGCCTAGAGAATGGGTCTTTGGCTTCCAAGGCCTTCAATGATGGCCCTGTTGGTGTGCCCTGCAGCCAACTCTCAAGGCAAGACCAGGCCCCAGCCCAGCTCCTTCAAGAAGCAAGAGCTGAAGTCTGACGCCCTCCAAAAGACAGACCCGGAAGAGCAGTCACTCAGCAGTGCTGCCCTGTCCCACAGCAACAAGCTGGACAGAGTCCCTGGGGCGCAGGGACAGGCCAAGTAAGGCCTGCTTGCACTCAAGAACCAGGCCCGCACCCCAAGGGCCCCAAGCTTACCCTTAATAGGTTTCCACCCTGGGACCAGACAGCTACCTTGTCTTCATCTCCATGGACCTGACTCCATTATGATGAAAATGGGCTCCAGGGAGTAGGGAGCTGCCGGGCTACTGTCCATCTGCTGGGCACTACTTTCCTCTCTCCCCTGAGGGTCCTGCAGAGACCCCTGGCCGACCTTACCCACAGGGAAACCCCTAAATCACTGTTTTCTTAGAGAACAGACAAAAAGGGATTTGGCCTTCTTATTAGTTTGCTTGGAGGAGGGTTGGGGGACCATGGTCTTACAGTGCAGTCCTGGCCGGCCTGGAGTTTACCCTGTAGGCCTTTAGCTTCAGCAATCCTCCTGCTTCTGCCTCCTGAGTATGAGGATTACAGGCGTGTTCCAGCACACCTGGCTTTTTTTTTTTTTTTTTTTAATTTTAATTTAATTTTTCCTTAACCAAGAACACTGAGTTGGATTCCTGGCCTGTCAGAACTAGAGCTGGTGTATAGACTGCCTTTGGGAGGCACGGGTTAGCAGGAACAGAGCAGGACCACGCTCTTGGTGGTACCAGTCTCCTCAGTAGTACAACCAAGGCAGGCTCCTACTTCTCTGCAGTCCCAACTCTAGGAACCACTCTGGGCAAGAAACATGCTGGGTGGGGCTACTTGGCAGCTAGCCGGTTGCGTCTTCAACACAGGGTCACAGATGGCTCCGGAGCACCCTGGTTAGTGGGCAATGGAAATGGGCCTCTTCCATACTTGCAGGCATGGGTGCTGCCCCAGGGCGGTGGAGGGTGGGTGGCTAGACCACTCCCACAGGTCGCCTCTGGGCTGCTGTAATGTTTCAGAGACGAGGATGCAGAAGCCCCTAATTCAGGGGCCACGTTGGTGGGGGGCAGCCATGGCCGGCAAGGGACAGGGATGGCCCCCTTACTGAGCCTGCCCCCGCACCTGCGCAAGCCCACCACAGTGCAGCAGTGTGAGGTGGTCATCCGTCAGCTGTGGAACGCCAACCTCCTGCAGGCCCAGGAGGTGAGGCCCTGGGCAGGCGCATGACCCTGCATGCCAGCGGTGCAGCGCACTGTACCCACCGTGCTCTCCCTGCCTTTCAGCTACAGCACCTCAAGTCACTCCTGGATGGGAACCAGAGGCCCAAAGCTGCAGCTGAGGAGGCTGGGCTGGGCTCTCCAAAGTGAGTTGCCTTGTACCCGGCGCCCTGCCCTGGCCCAGAGGAGGTGTGGCCCTCACGGCTAATTTCCTTTCCCAGGGATCAGGAATCCACGCAGTTTCCCAAGGTCACCACCAAGGGCCTTACTAAGAAGTGGTGAGTCCCAGACACAGGAAGCGGCTGCCCCCACAGCTTGCTGCCCCAAGGGAGCAGAGGGGAGGGTGCCCAGAGGTGTGAAAGCAGGCAGCCAGCCATCAGTTCAGGACAGCCACTAACTAGCCTCTCCTCCACCCTAGCTTAATTCTCAGCCCAATGCCTGTGGCAGAGCGTGGCATCCTGCCTGCTTTGAAACAGAGCCTGAAGAGCAACTTTGCTGAGCGGCAGAAAAGGTTGCAAGTGGTCCAGAGCCGGCGCCTGCACCGTTCTGTGCTGCTGAGTCGGCGCCCTGGAGCCCGGCCATCTTCTCTTGATAATGGTTCACATCAACCCTATTTTTCAGCCACACGAAATTCCAAGACAGACAAAACCCATGACAGATAAAAGTACTTGCTCTCAGAATTGAGGAAACTGTCTATTTTCTCTATTATTTTACTATTCCTGCATTTATACAAAAGCACATTATAAAATGTTATTCGCCGCCTACCTATTAACTGAAAATAAAAATTCTTTCTCCAAGTCCTAAGCCTCCTTCCTCACAGCCATTCAGGTGTCTCCTCAGCCTACTTCCCGTGGAAATGCCCTGTGTAGGCAGCCAAGGCTGGGGGCTCCTAGAAGGCTGTGCACCAGGCATCCTAAATGGCACTCTAGAGCCGGCTCACTCCAGGGCTACCTTCCAGGCACATGGGCCCTTACACTGGGAGTAAGACAGTGTTGCCTGGACACCCAACGCCGATGACTTCATGCTGGGCCGAGCTGCCTGGCGGCTCAGGGAGAAATAGCCTCGCCTGCTGTGTACTCCGCCCCAGCCCAGCAGCTGTCACCTGGAAGTGGTCAGCTTGTGCCTACTCCTACCCGGCAGCGCAGACCTCCCCACACCAGTGTCCACTCCTCAGGAGAATCAGATCTGGGATGGGGCATACATCAGGATGTGATGTCAGAAAGCAGACGGAGTGCAGGCTTTCCCAAGATGGACAGCATCCTTACATAGTGGGCCCAGACTCGCAAAAAGGTAGATGCAGTAAACTGCTGACAAACACAGGAATAATAAATTTATTATAAGAATCATATGACAGAGTAGTGCACATAAAAAAAGGGGAATCCTTTTCACCAGAGCGCGCCGCATTGCTGCAGTGTGGCGAGCGCCATGCGGCAGTGTTCTGAAGGAACCCCCCACTCTTACAGTGGAGCAGAGAATGAGAAAATACCGTGTTCTAAGGAGTGCCAACGACAGGATCTGGTAGAGCCACTCATGTCTCATAGCTCTGACACAGCCCTTCAACCAAACGTGGCACAGGAATGTCGGCAGCCCCGGCCCCAGCTGGCCCTTCTCCTGGCAGCACTGTGAGGAGACCCACACAGGTGAGATCCTGCTGTTGGCAGAGAACCTGCTGCTGCCTTATTGGCCTTTCCTCCAAACTGAACCCTGTGCCCTGGGTTCAAGAGCATTCCTGTGATGTGTGCACACGCCGTAGGAGGCACAGCCGGAAGCCCACACCGTGCCCGGAGAAGTGTGAGATAGTGAGGGGTTCCCTTGTCTTCCACATTCTCCAGATAAAAGTACAATGTATGTAGCAGAGATGCTTAGATGGGGCCCTGAGTTCTCATGCTGCTGAGCGGATATGGAAAAAAAACAATGGAAAACCTCTGGGGAAGGTCCCAGGCCCTCATGCCACCAGCTCCACAATACTGCACAAGCGTGGGGAAACGGCTGGCAGGTCCCCAAGAGAAAAGGTAAAAGCAGGAGAGTTAACCTAACTCAGGCCCTCTAAGAAGCCAACACCTTGTAATGTCTGGTAGGCGCAGCAGGGCCGCTGGCAGTCCTTAAGTTCAAGTGTGCTAGGAAGCTGAGAGGCAGGCCTGGTGGATGCTCTGGGCCCAGGTGTTGAGCAGCGCTGTGACCGAGTGCTTGTCGGGGAGCTGCAGCAGCCTGGAGGTCATGCACCGGTGCACTGACTGCAGAAAGGGGTTGGCATCTGCAACACAACAGTGGCAGCCATGAGTGCTGAGCGTGGCAAGGCAGCAGCTACATGAGCAGCTCCTAGACCGCTTCTGGGAAGGGGCAGCACTGCTTAGTCTCCTGTGCTCCACTGTGGGGGACCTTCCAGTCACACTTGCAGTTAAGAACTGGAATTCATATGAGGTCTGGAGCCCCAGCCTGTCCCTGGCATGTGCCGTGCCAGCAGAGCCCAGGTATTGTTCCCGCCCAAGGGGCTCTCTCTGGAGCCCTATCACACAGACTGAGCGACATGCGCTCCTGCTGCTGGCCCTGGGTCACCTTGTCGAGCCCCAAAGGAATGTCATGAACTTGACTGCTATTCCCCGCTTGACAGGTGCAAGGACACTGCCTGCCTTGGGGCTCTGGATAGTTCCTCTAAGTTCACCCACCGTACTGCCACTGACGGTCAATCCACATTGGGCTCTGGGCAGGATAGTCAGCAGGCACACTGAGCTCCAGCGGTGGCACACTAGGGAGGTCCTTGTCATCTGTGACACAAAAACCACACGTGACCTGGCCGACAGCCTGGCAAGCACCCACGCAGCCCTGCCCACCTCACCCCTGCTCCTGAAATGGCTCTCTACGCTCCACTGTGTTCCAGTGAAGCCTGCTGCAGACCTGGAGGCCTCTTAGGGTCTCAGGCTTCCAAAGCCAGGAAACAGCTTATGCTGCCAGTGGTTGCCTCAGGACCAAGCTACTTTTGTGGAGAAAGAGAAATAAATGCATAAGGTCAGGGAATGGAGGATCTGGGGAGTTGGGGCAGGGATTCACTGAGGAATGAAATGAGGCAAGAACAGCAGTGAGCAGGCCATGTGAGCGCAGTACAAGCTACAAGTGTGTAGCCTGAAGGCCCTGGTGTTGGCCTCCAGCATGGATGGCCAACGGCTCTACCTCCAACCCTGGACACTCACCCAGCTTGCAGATCAGGTGGACGGTGCCATTGTTGCTGCAGTGAGAAGGGTCCAAGTTCACCAGGAACTTGGGATCCAGCCTTGCCACTTCACCTTGCAGCACATTGGGGATGCTCTGCCGCTCATCCTCCTCAAACCTGCGCTTCCGGGAACACACCACTGGGGACCTGGAGGAGGGGACTAAAGTGATTATGCAGACATCACACAGCCTCTGGGATGCTGCTCATCACTAGGTCCAACTGGGTGTACATACACAATAGGTGGGCCATGGATGGCCATCATGGCTGGCACAAATGTGCGGTACAGGGAATGGTTGAAGACAGGCGAACGGATGTTGGCCAGGACTGCATCTAGGAGTGGCTGGCACAGGTCCTGCTGTTTGGTTGGAAGAACTGGAGGTGGTGGGGGTGTGGGCTAGAGACAAGATGGAAAGGGTCAGCGGCATGGGCTCAAGGCCTCATCCATTCTGAGGAGTCTTCCCAGCACCAGGGTCCTCATCAACACTCATGTTCCCGAGGCTTTGCCCACAGCCTCTACTCTGGCGGCTGATTCTGAATACATCTCTAGCCTCATAGCCTTACTCGCACCTGTGCCCCTCTCCCCATGCCAGGGCCTGAACAAAAGTGCAGATGAGGGGAACTGACTTCTTGCTTCCTCGCTCGCCAGGTCAGGCCCTGTCTTTATCTGTGCTAACCCTGACCACAAAGCCTCTGTCCAGCAGGTGGGTCCTGGGGCTCCGCTCACCACTGCCATGTCATTCTTGAGTTTCTCCAGGGCAATCTCACACTTCTGCAGGGTCTTCAGGGGACACCTAAGGGGAGGGCACATGAGCTGACACTCTGCTGAAGGGCCAGACAGGGAACTCTTGTCCCGACCACCATCCTAATAACTTCTTGTGCCTCAGCCACTGGAAACCATCACAGGAGTCCCAGTAGCCCATGAGCTTCTTCCAGAACAGACCCAGCAGCAGCTCTTGTCCCAGCCTGGCCCTGCGGCTCTAAGGACTTAACCTAGGGGGGTCTGGAGAACTGTAGCTCCAACGGGCTCTACCCAGCGGTGACTACTAGACAATGGGGAGACAGTCAGCAGAGCCCAGGGCAAGCTGCTGTGACAGTCGGTGGAGCCCAGGCCAGCTGAGCTGTTGACAGTCTGTACACAGCCCCAAACACTGGTGTTAGCTGTGAGCAGGAGCTGGAAGCCTGGTGACCCAGTGTCATCTGTGAGATTCTCATAGGCTCCACTTGGGTTCATCTTTACAAGCAGTCCACACAGCTGCAGCTAAGCCTACAGCCCATGGGGTGAGTGAGACACAGCTGTCTGCCAAAGGTCACTGGCCAGTCAGGAACACCGAAAAGGCAGATGCACCTAACCTGTCATGTCTAGCTGAAGGTGGGGCCACTATGAACCAGGACCTAGCATACTGGCTCCATGAGCCAGGCTAGGACAGCTATAGGTTTGAGGACCATGAGGCCTTGAACAGGGTTGAAATGTGGCTACTGGAAAGGTGCAGGTAGGGTTCAAGTTTCCATACACACCTACTTGTAAAGTCACCTGGGCCTCAGGCATGGCTCACAGAGCTCCTGGACCTTTGTCAGACCCACACTGTCACCAAGTCTAGAGGACCCTCTGTGAGCTATGGTATAGCATAGACCTGCCCAAGGCCCTGGGCCAGTACTCACCGCTTAGAAGGGTCAGTGAGAATGTCCAACAGGCTCTTCATCTTACTTAAGTCCTTTTTTCTGTCTGAGAAAGAAAGGGGACACTAAGAAACAGGCCCTGGATGTTCTGGCCCCACATTGGTCTGGGTCAGCCTACCTTCATTCTTGTCAATCTTGTTGATCATGCGTCGCAGGGGCTCGATGTACTTGGACAGTTGCTTCAGCTTGTCCAGGTACTGCTGCTCCTCAGCCTGACTGGAGCCAGCCGGGCTCATGACTGAGCTGGGGTTCACTGTAGGGGCAGGATGGGGAAGATGATGGCTACAACCTGTGGGGCAGTGTCACCACAGATCTGAGGGTTCCACGAGCCCTTTCCACAGTTTGAGACTTTGGGAGGGGAAAAGGGGTTAGGCACCCCGTAGAGCTATTCACCCAGCCCAGGCCCAACTTACCAGGGGTGTTTAATGGTCCAGGAGAGGGGACGCTGAAGTTCTGTGGGGTGCGTGCTGTCACTGGGCTCTGAGAAGGCTGTGGTGAGGGACTAGGCAGGAAGCTGCTGGGGGATGGGGCAGGGCCGGAGCTGCAGTCAAGTGAATAAAAGCAGGTCTGAGCCTAGAACACCACACCAGCCCTGAGGCCAAATGGGGTAAAGAAAGAATGGGGAAAGTGTGCACCCCAGAAGCCTACCTGACATTGGAGTTGGGCTGCGAGCCAGGTTGTGGGGATGGCTGCGGGGGAGGGGGCATCGACTGTGGGGTCTGTACCTGCTGGCCTGGTGACGGTGAGGACAGCATGGTGAGGCTGCTTTGGCTGACCTGGAAGTGGAGAGACTTAGCCAGCTCCATGCTACACACATACCCTGCCTCCACACACCTTGCACAAAGAACCTACTGGTCTGACTTCCCGTCTTATTCACCCCTTTCTTCTTCAAGATGCTACACACCCACGCACAAGCCTCACCTCTTGGTGAGCACAGCACATAGTATCCAAAGGGCTGGAAGGCCAGATGGGCAGCCTGGCTCCTTGGTGGGGGCCCATGAAAATTTCTGGTTTCTGGGCTGAGAATGCTATGGTAACGGCCTGCTAGTCAAGCACTGGTGTATACAGAGGGAGCCTAGGAAGCCGTATGACCTGCTGTGTTCTGCCTAACCTAGAAAACTCATCTCTGAGGGTAAGACTGTCCTCTGCTAGAGATAGCCTCCCAGTGTGACTCTAGGATTACTGCTCCAAGGACAAGCCTTTGGCAAAGTGGCTGTGACATGTACAGATGCTGCTGCCTACCTTATTTTCTTAAGTGGAAAGAGGTGGCCAAGGAGCCATATGCATATCCAGGAGTGGTACTGCACTGGCTCCACGGTGCCCCTGCTAGCCTGCAGAGCTTACTTGATGGGGTGAAAGACTTGTATCAAAGAGCCCTGGGCTCAGAGCACTTACAGCCTCAGAGGCCTGGCTCTGCACAGACCCAGTGGCTGCCCTATGCTGTCAATGCACATTCAGACAGCAGAAACAGGGTTGACTGCAGTGCTGCCAGCACCGGCACCACCCACTGTACACAGGAACTCCAAGGACAGAGACCAGGCAAAGGTAGCAGCATGGACGTACTCCCACCTTTCAGCAAACAAAGGAAGACTGCAGTTCTAGATGGAGATGAGCTACCTGCTGGCCTTTTGCTCTCCTGGACATCCTAGAGGCCACCAATTTCAAAGGTCCCCAAGTATCCAACGTAGCCCCTCTTATACCCCAGTCAAGCACTGTGCACCAAGCAAGCCCCACAGCCCACCTTTTATAATTCACAGGCCAGCCAGTACTGCAGACCAAGTCAATCAGATGGCTTTGCCAGAATACCAGAGACTGATGTCCATGGGGGGAGGGGGGATGGCACGGTGGTAAAAATTCCGCATCTTCTCATATTGTCTTTTAGTTTCTTAGTTTCTCAAACTGGGAATAGGCACAGAGCCAATGAAAATGATACCTGCACTCTTCACCTGCCCATCCCACACTGCCAGGCCAAGGATGACATGGGGCCTGTCATGTTAGCCTGCTTGGCCATTCAGAACCACTGACTGAGCTCACAGATCCAAGTTTAGTTCCCAGAACCCATGTGGAGCAGCTCTCAAACACCAGCAATTGCAGCTCCTGGGGACCCAATGGCACATTCTGGTTTCTGTGGGTACTGCCTTTAAGTGCACCCCCCCAGATACACACACATTATATACATATACATAATTAAAATAAAACCATTTTAAAAAGGTGGACTGGACAAAGCCATAATGCTGCGACCAAGAAAGCCCTAAGCAGTGGGGAACAGGAGAGAAGCTCAGGCCTCTGGCTGCAGGGCAGTTACGCCAGCCTTTCCTCTGAGATTCACTCTGACATAACGAGACCAGAATGGGGTGGGCTGGACAATGCACAGGTCTGCCCTGTCCATATCAGCACCCTTGGGCTGATGCATTATGAATCCATGGACATCAGGGTAGGCGCATGTCATACAGACCATAAAACCTGCTTGGAATCAACCCATGTCCTATCAAAGTCCCAGGACTGTACAGTTTCATGCAGACTGCAGACGGTACAAACCAAGGCTATGGTCTGAGCCCTGACTGTTGGCCAGCGCTTCCTTACACTGGGCTTTTGTCCCTCAACTGTTTTCCAAGAGACCTGGAACCCTTATTCTCTTTCTCTGTCTCAACTGCCTATCTGCACTTGATACTGGCTGAAGCACCTGTTCCTTGGCTATAGTATAAAGCTCAGATCTAGTACACTAGTTACCAGAATGCCACAGAGCTAGACAGGGCCACATATTAGGAATAAATCTTAGTGTTCATGTCCCTCTTTCACACCCATACTTGGGCACAGGACTCACGCTTTGTTCGAGGACATAGCTGAAGTCAAGCAGATGTCCCAAGACATGATGCATGGGTCTAAGACATGAAGGAGCAATAGCGAAATGTGGAATAGAAAAGCCTGCAATACATGGGAAACCCCAGGACTCAGCCAATGGTCATGCCCTTGGGGACAAGAAGGTCTCCGTTTTTAGGAAGCATGGACTCCACTGTCATGATTCTCCTTCAAGGCCTCCCATGCCAGGCTACAGCCAGTCTACTTATACACAAGGCTCATCTAGACCCGTTTAAGCAGCATGTGCCCCAGCAACCTCACCAGCACTTCACTAGGTGTGGGTACCCAGAAGACCCAGTACATGAGTGTGCCTGGATTCTGTGCTTGCGCCAGGACAGGGCAGCTGGCATGCCCCAGAGGATGAGGGATAGGGGAACAATTTCTAACAGGAAGAAAAACAAACAAAGGCACCTCCACGATCAGGAAACTCCAGGCCCTAGAAAGAAGCTTCTAGAGTCAATGCCAGGTACAAAGCAGCAGCCCAAAGACATCTCCAGGCAGAAATGACCTAGCAAGAAGCAAGGGTGTGAGGAAAAACCAGAGGAAGGTTGCTAGCTCCTAGGGCTTTTGCTGTCAGGGAAGGAGCCTGTGACAGGGTGGGAAACACTGGCTGTGCTCTCTCAGGTCACAGTCTGTGGCCCAGGCATGGGCATGTTACAGCTGCTATCAAAAGCCAGGGTGGCTGACGTCAGGGAAGAGCTTCTGATAGGCCCTTTACACCATCTGTCACCTGAGTTTTATAAGCAGGGACACAGTGAGGTGGCCTGTCAAGAGCTCAGAACTAGAGGCTGACAGAGACAACCCAGGCACTGTAAATATCAATGCTAAATATCAATGCTTCGGCAATGCAGCAGTCGGCCACGTAGACCGTGGGAGCGACACAGCATGGCTGGGACACAAGGAATAACCTGGGTAGATGGCCAAAAAAATGGGAGTTCAGTGGGGCCGCAGCCGGAGAAGGAAGACTAATCCAAAGAGAACCTCAGACAGGCTGGCACCATGAATTCTGGTCCTTGGACCATCTGTACCTGTCTAGACTTAAAACTGCCTTTGCTCCTGACCTGGAACAGAGCATGGGCCATGCAGCCCCACTCGAGAACCAGGGAACACTTTTGTCCTGGAGTTGCCTGCCTACATTCACCATGTATCACAAACAGGCAATGTGGACGCTGCTGGCCTAACCTTGCGAAAGTGGGAAGTTCTTCATAGAAGAGCTGGGATCGGACAGCTGTACTGGACAGCCAAAGAGGAGGCCCAGGGTTTTCTCCACTGACATCTCTCCCCAAGTACTCTCAGGGCCCTTAGCCTCTGAGTAGGTAAACAAAAACAAATGTGCTTAAAAAAGCAAAACAATAACAAACAAACAAACCCCAACCAGTATGGTGATGCACACCTTTAACCTTAGCACTTGGAAGGCAGAGGCAGGCAGATCTCTGAGTTTGAGGCCAGACTGTTCTACAGAGTGAGTTCCAGGAGAGCCAGAACTACACAGAGAGACCCTGTCTCAGATTAAAAAAAAAAAAAAAAAAAATCATCACCATCATCAAAAAACACAACCTTGTTTTTATTCCCTGTTGCCATAGTCCTCTGCTACATTTGTCTTCAACAGACTAGCAGACTAGCCCAAAGATTCAGGGACATGACCCCTCCCTGCTGGCACTTAACAGGAGTAGAGGATGAGTCAATTTGGGTGGGCTAAAGCTGGCATCTACTAGTGATGACTGTCAACCAAGCCACGTTCTTTCAGGGTGACCCGAAATTCCTCATGTACCTTTTTTGCCTGTCTCTTTCTTCTCCTCCAACCAAATCCCTTGCCTTCTGGGGTTAGGAAGTACTGCAGATCATAAGACCCACTCCACTGACAATGCAGGAGCTACCCCACAGTAGGCAATGAAGGCAAGATGAGGCCCAAGACAGAAGCTAGTCCAAGAGATGTACAGACAGGTTCTGTCAGTTTGGAGAAAGAGCAAGGTTGTCAAACCAGCAACAAAAGCAGGGCTGAGGGTTTTCTAGGAGAATCCTACTGACAGGCTTTGAGTTCTGATCTTCAAAATGCTACCTTCCAGTTCCTTTCCATTTGTAAAAGGAGCTAAATGCTTGAACTATGACCTGCCACAGTGAAAACAAGATTCTCCACATGAAGAACACAGCTCAAGATCTGGTCTATACCACACCCTCAAAATGCTGGGGACCTTTAGTTTCCACAGAAAAACAATTTTCTGTGCTGTTAAGTCATTTATCACCACAATTCCACCTGATTGTGAATGCAATGCATACTGAGCTAGAGGACCCTCCTTTGAAGAAAGATACACAAGTGTCCTACGTCTGCCTATGCATTGAGGATAGCTCCAGCACATGGGCCCTTAAGCAAGGGCAGGAACTCCATCTCCTAGAATCATAGATGCGCTTTCCTGTGTAGGCAAAGGAATTTTAGAAGTCTTTTAACTCTCAGGTATTTTACAATAAACCTGGAAAATAAAAAGTCCTGTGATGAAAGAATATTAAGACTCTATTCTCATAATTTTCAAACAAGGCCTGGCATATGGAATGCTATTGAACAAATGAACATACAGGTGTAGGGAATGATGATGTGGCATATTCCCATGAGATCATGAAGTGCACAGAGTGTAGTCTACTCGGTTTCTATGTGCAATGACTTACTCTTCCCAGGGAACTGGTCTGGATGGTACAATTCAACAGCAGAGAGCACTTCTAGTGAAACTGGTACTCCTGAGGAGCTCCATGCTGTGGAGTGCTACAGCACTGGACAGCAAGCCCTTGAAAACCACACTCTTTGTTTTCCTTTGAAAACATGTAGTCCAGGCTGCTTTCAAACTCACTTCAAGAGCTCTAAAATGACTACCACTCAATTTTATACATGTAAATTGCTGATACAACGTAGGGCCCTGTACTTAACTACATTGCAGCCCATGTCTTGTTTTATTTTATCATGAAAACAACAACTAGTATGATGATTTTGAAGTGGAGAAAAAGCCCCTCAAGAAATTATCAGAAGGAGCTGGGCATAGTAACACATGCTTTTGGTCCCAGTACTCAGAAGGCAGAGGCAGGCAGATCTCTAAGTTCAAGGTCAGCCTGGTCTACATAATGAGTTCCAGGACAGCCAGGGTGAGACAGAGAAACCCTGTCTCAAAAAAAAAAAATAGAGCGAGAGGAGAGAGAGAAGAGAGAGAGAGAGAGAGAGAGAGAGAGAGAGAGAGAGAGAAGAAAGAAACACCAGCAGGGCTTGACCTCAAACAAAATGAATATTTGTTTTATTGCTTTGAAAGCCACCATGAAGAAAGTTACTGACAATGAAAGGTATGTTTCATGGAGATGCTCAGAGAAACCTCAAGCTTTGGGGGTGAGCCCTGTGCAAAGCCTGATCTATAAATACCTGTGCCGTGGGCTGTCCGCCCAAAGAGATGGAGCTTGACGGGCGAGCAGACATGGTGGAGGTAGGCGGGAACCCGGCTCTTACGTGCATCCCGCCTTGGGTCAAGGATTCAGCAATCATCTTTGAGGATAGAGGGACAACAGACAAGGTAATTGGAACAAGAAGTGCAGTGTATGGCAGGTGAGGGTGTGTGCAGCCTCACAGAGTGGACCATTAGGCCCCTTCAAATGACAGAGATGTGTGGGGATGTTCGAGACGTTCAAGCACTCTATACCTCCAGGCCGGGGGCAGTACCAGAGACACCAAGAACATAAGCCAGGTCCTTCTCCTCTCCTAGCCAGAGTCCTATGGTGCTTGTCCTGGACACACCTCTGAGCTGTAGACAGAACAGACCCTATGGCCTGTGGAGTGCTGGAGCCAGACTGCTCGGGTGGCAATTCGAGGATAACAAGTTCTTAAGAGAAACTTGGAAAGAGGACATATCAGCAAGCTTGCAAGGAGCAAAGTCCAGTGTCCTTGAAGCAGCAACCTGCTCAGCATTCTCCTAAAGTGCACCTGGAACCCAAGGCTCGTTCATCCACCTGGCCTTCTGGGGAGGCTGCTTCTCAAAGTATGGAGGAATGCAGGTGGATGGCAGGAGAGCCTGGGGTTTGTCCAAGGAGCTAATGAGGAAGGGCTCTCCACAGGGACATAAACACCTGCAGTCAGGAACTTCAAGACCAACAGAGACCTTTCTCTTAGCCAACTTTTGTTTCTTGATTCAAAGAAATAGCCAAGGTCAACCTATCACTGTCACAGCTTTGGGGCTGGCTACCCTTACTCTCCGTTCTTAAGAAAGGGGATAGAGTCCAACCTGACTCCTGGAAATGTACTCAGAATATTACATACTAGAACAAAATAACATGGCCTGGTACAGAAAGTAGGACCTATTCACAAAAGCAAAACAAAAGCCCAGTAGCATATGTGAGAGGATCACTTAGCATGGGAGTTAAGAGATTAGCAGGGGCAACATGGGAAGACCTCAGTTCAAAACACAAAGCCATTGAGACCTGGGAAGCTATGACTTAGGCTACCAGAGCAGGATGGTACCGTATGATTCAATCTGTGAAGAGACAAGGCTCCAGAACAGGATACAGGCCTATGAGAACCCCTGTGGCATCACACAAAGGGCTCACGTTCATACAGAGGAGATGCATGTAGTAAGCACTACAGAGGATTCCAATGAGAACATACTAAGAGCCAAGGAAGGTGCAGCTCTCTCCATTCCTGCAGCCAGTCAAACAAATCTGTTCTCCTGATGGTGGCTCTCAGACCAGGGGTGCTGCCCAGCTATCCCCAACAGCTCACTAACAGACACCAAGAGGGTTAATGTTTGAGGGCCCTCTGCCCCTGGGGGAGTAGGGGAGATAAAGGTAATTTATTCCAGGGTTCTTGATAGAATTGAAGGTCACTTAGGGAGGTGCATTCACAATCAGTGGCTGTAGCACTCCTCACGGTGATAGAACATGTAGAAGAAAACCAAGTGCTGTGAGAGGTGCCAGCTTGTCTCTAGGAACATTAAAAGCTGCAAGGAAAGAAACATTATGGACACTCTGACCAGTTTTTTTTATTATTATTTACTTTATTTTGCAATTTTTAAAAGATTTGACTGGGTGTGCTGGCTCATGCCTGTAAAACACACACACACACAACCCTATCTCAAAAAATTAATAATAACTGATTAGAGATTCACCCTATTTTATGTATACGGACTCTGCCTGTGTGCATTAAGTGTAGCGTGTGCATACCTGGTCCCTGCAGAGGTCAGAAGAGGGCACTGGATCCCCTGAAACTGCAGTTACAGATAGTTGTGGGATGCCGTGTGAGTGCTGGGAACTGAACCCAGGTCCTCTGGGGAAGCAACAAGTACTCTTAAGCTCTGAGCCATCCCTCCAGCTTTATTTATTTCTCCTTCCTGTGTCTGAATGTCTTGCCTGCACGTACGTCTGTGCACCTGAGCAGGCAGAGCCCTTGGAAGGTGAAGAGTTACGCACGGCTGTAAGTCATGGCACGGGTGCTGCAAACGGAACCCAGGGTCTTATTTGTTTGTTTGAGAAAGGGTTTCTCTGTGTAGCCCTGGCTGGAACTCACTCTGTATACCAGGCTGGGGTCAAACTCATAGAGATCAACTTGCCTCTGCCTCTCTGCCTCTGCCTCTGAAGTGCTAGGATCAAAGGTGTGTGACACCGTACCTGGCACTTTTAACCATGCACAGTCTCTGCAGGCCCTGACTGGTTTTCTTTATGAAGAACTTCGGACAGGAAAGCTCTCTGTTTTTTTCTTTTTTGATTTTTGTTTTGTTTTGAGGTAGAAATCCCAAGAAAACCACTGAGAATGTTTACAGGATCAGATGAGCAGCTGTCAAGTGTAATTTACTGTCAGAGACGTCCCTTCTCTACTGCTCCATGTACTCCTACCTGCAGAAAAAATGCTAATGCAGACCAGAGCAGCCAGCTGGTTCCCAGCTGTAGCCACTGTTCAGGAGGGCTCAGAGGGACACGGCCCTCTGGCTCAAGGTTCAGTCAAAGAGCATGTCTAAGTCAGCTAGGCTGTATGCACATGCATGTCCTGGTTGACAATTCTTTGTCACCTACAGAGTTCCTTTTGTCTGTTTGTTAGTTTGGTTTGGTTTTTTGAGACAGGGTTTCTCTGTGTAATAGAGCCTTGGCTGTCCTGAATTCATTTTGTGGATCAGGCTATCCTTAAACTTAAGAGATTTCTGCCTGCCTCTGCCTTCTGAGTGCTGGGATTAAAGGTGTGCACCACCATGCCCAGCTTTGTCACCTATAAGTTAGTGCTTAGTTCTATATTAGTAGAACAGAAAGTTAAAAGGCATAGGAAAATAAAGACATACTCTGTTCTGGTTTTACTATTGGATCCCAGTAAATTCCACTGAAGGTGGTTTCATCTCTCAGCAACATGAGTATAATCAGAGAAGAGGCCACATAAAACAAACAGAATGGGGCTGGCTGACCCTTCCAGAATACTTACCCCAGGGAAAGAGCCCTACCACCATTATCATCAATCACCATACTGGTCACCCTGGCACTGGTATCTGCTCTGCTACTGAGGGCACACTCCTGGAATGAAGCATGAAGGACTAGACATTTGCCACCATGACAGCAGCTCTCAGAGAACTGGCTGGTGGCCTGTTCTGTGGTGTGTGGTAGTTCATATATGCACAAAGTTCCAACACGTGGTTTCTGCATATTGACAGAATATGTGGGCATGAGGTAGGAAATTTAATCTCAACATGTCTTTGAGCTCATGATTAATTAGTAACTGGCTGCCACTGTGCAAGGACCCTGAAAGCCACTCAGTGACTCAATCCTGAGAAGCTACAAAAAACAGTCTTGAACTTACCCACATGCACAGAAAATCACCTCAAGATCACAAAAACAAGGTGATCCTTGAGAGCAGCAGCAAGCATCTCCATCACTCAAAATAAGGCTGCCCAGGAGTTTGGGCCTGCAAAGGGTACTCTTTGATCTGGAATCGCAGGCTTAAGAAGCTTGGTTGTGGGCTGAGGCTCAATGGAAGAGCTCAAGGTCTAAACATCCTCAATACTGCAAACAAGTATTTCTAAAGCTCATTCCTCAGGCTGGTACTACTAGAAGGTGGTTGGAATTTCAGCTTATGTAGAGGAGATAGTGTGTCAACTTGATGGTCTACAATCACCAAGAAGACAAGTTTCCAGTGCACATGAGGGTTATGGTAGTCTAATGGAGTACTCCCTGGGCTGGAGTCCTGAACTACATAAACAAGAGAGCATGATCTGAGCAAAGGTACCCAGTGCTCTCTGCTCTTTGTTTTGTAACTAGGTCTCACTATGTAGCCTTAGTAGGTCTGGAATTCGCTATGTAGACCAGGCTGGCCTTGAAACTCAGAAATCTGCTGCCTCTGCTTTCCCAGTGCTGGGATTAAAGAGAGCACCACAATGCCTGGCTCCCTGCTTCTTGACTGTAGATGCAATGTAACTGACTGGCTGCCTTTAAGCTTCTGCAACCTTGACTCCCTGACATTATAAACTGGACCTTGAACTGTGAGCTAGAAAAACTCCTCAAACCTCTTTTGTCAGAGTATTTCATTACAGCAACAGGCAAAGTAGCTACTACAGGATATGGCCTCAGAAACATGGGTCCCTTCCTCTTTTTATGTCCCAGTTGCCTGGAGTGGCAGCTGCGGTCTACTGCATGCTCCCTGTCATGAGGTGCCCCAGTGTGGGCCCAAAAGCAATGGAGTCACACCTGTGAGCCAAAATAACCCTTTCCTCCATGCACCCATTATCTCGGGTCTTTTCTTATTTTATCAGAAAGCCAACTAAAACACATTGAATGTGGAAAACATCATATATAAAACTGCACAGGGGCTAGGGATACAGACGATAGTGTTTGAGTCTCCAATACTGCATACACTGAGTGTGGTGGTGCATGCCTGTTATCCAAACACTCAGGAGGTGGAAGGAGGATGAAGGTCAGCCTCAGCATCATAGGAAGTTAAAGGCCAACTAGGTTTACATGACATTAAGTCCAAATAAGTAAATCTGCATAGACAATATAACTTTCAGTGAGCAAACCAGAAACGATACCCAGTTTCCAGCTCTGGGTGCTTCTCTTACACCTCTCTCTATTCTTTACTTTCTGCAGTTATCTCAGCTTTGTTAAGATTCATAGATCAGCATACAACAGCCCTTTTCCTAACCACTGGGGCAACCTGGATTTCAAAAAAGCCTAGGGCTCTTCCTTTCACGAGGGCCCATCATGCCCAGGCCACACAACCACATTCTTCTCCCCAGTACTGCCAGAACAATGCAATGAGACCACCCAAGCAGCCCCACAAAACTGTCACGCGATAGGTAAATACAGAAGAAGGTGGGAGGAAGGTAAAAGAGAATAGCAGAATACAAGTAATCTGATAGAAGAAATGGGATAAGGAGGGCTCTTTAGCAAGGAGGAGGGAGATAAATACAAAAGGAAGTAGGTAGTTAAAAGATGTCTGAAAAGCCAAAGAATCATATTATTAACTGTTTACCTAAAAAAGATAAAAAAAATAAAAAGCCTACAAGTTAATTCCATATATAGATATACATATATAAACTAAAACACAACAGTTTTAATGAACTTCTCTCATCTGAGCTGGCAGTACTCCCGCTAAGACCCAAAAACCACACAACAAAACCCCAACAGCAGGCATGAGAAGCTCTCTTTTGAGTTGTTGATCTGGGCTGTCCAAGAGACTACCAAAACACTGAGCCTATCACTATTACCCTTGGCTACAGTCCACCACCAGAGGTGGAAAAATACGTCCCCATTTCTGAAAATACCATACAGTTCAGAAATAGAGCCCACTCATCCCTGAACTGAACTGAATGCTCCCTTGCTGAGGACTAGTTTTCATGGTAGCAGAAGGCAGCATGAACCTATTTCCAAAAGAGAGGCAATCAACAACCCCATCAACTATGATGCCTATAAATGAACAGCATGGCAGAATAACCCTAATAGTGTAGTAATAGCACACATGCCCTGATGGTAACCAACAGTTTTCTACTTGGACATAAGACCCACTTACCAAGAGAGAAATCATGCCTGGTACTGGAAACCTAGCCCACTACTCAGTGCTAGTGAAGTGTAGTCCTCCCCGTCCCTCATCAAGAAAACTTCTCTTTGCAACAGATGGAGATCATTACCTAAAACTACAACCAATCAACACGCAGAGTTGTGAAGCTGAGTCACAATGGATATATCTACAAAACCCTCCTTCACCTAAGGTTAAGAGAACATTGCAGAAGAGCTGGTAGAAAGATTATACTAGCCAGAGGGACGGTCAAGGAGTTTGCTGTGATTGTGTCTCCTACCCTCATAAAGACTCAGCAACATGACTACCCAAATTCGAGCTAACCAAGATGATACCAATGGACATGCCAAGGAGACAGGGAAAAGCCTATGAGGCCTCAACCCTACATACAGGCAACTGAGGAAAGCTGGACACAGGAGAGGTAGTCTTCCCCAGGGAAGAGCATGCCAACTGATTGTTCAGTGCTAATCGATCAGCCCTTAAAATATACATACAAGTAACATTAGACAGACTGAAGGGGGAAATATTTAAATATATATACATACACACACATATGCATATGTACGTATATATATGGATGCATGCAATAACAATTAGTAAACTAAACGTCATGATTTTGAAGGAGAGGAGAATGGGGAAGGGTAAATGGGAGGACTGAAGGGAAGAAAGGGAAGGGAGTCATGCTGTAATTATATTAACCTTAAAAAGAAAAAAGAAAGAAAATCAGCAGTGGCAGGTCTGACTCCTGAGGCATGATGTTTGGACTGAAAGGCACAGTGCTTTAGAACTGGGTGGTGGTGGTGCACACCTCTAATCCCAGCACTCAGGAGGCAGAGACAGTGGATCTCTGTGAGTCTGAGGACAGCCTGGTCTACAGAGTAAGTCCAGGACAGTCAAGGCCATACAGAGAAACCCTGTCTTGAAAAACCGGGGGGGGGGGGGGGACAAAACACAAGGCCCAAAGAAAACACAGAAGGCAGGCAGATGACACTTCTTTAAACACCAATGGCACAATCCTCAAAAACCAACTCCCTAAGGAAACTAACCTGATTAGGAAGGACCTAGGTCTACCCTAAGTTGCACTGCCACTGATCTTCCACCGGGGTAAAAGGGACATGACAACCAAGCTGTGTTACAGATGACTAACACTGACAGCTGGCCACACCCCTAATCCCAGCAGGGTGGGGCAAAGAACTAAAGAAGCCCTGCACTTGGCACAGAGGCTCAATGTGGAACATAAGCACATATGGCCACACCCTGCTGCTGGTGGCTGACAAGACACCAACAAAGCTAGCAACAGGGTACACACTTCCTCCACAAGAAGCCAGCACACAATCAGAACAGGCCTACACCAGTGGCGTCTGTTGTCCTTTCACGGCTACTTGCTGTCCAATGCAATGTCCAATTTCCCTTTCTTCTTACTGGGCTAAGCCACTGATGTAGAGGCTTATATCTTCTGAGTCCCAGGGTCGTGGAGGGAGGGTCATTAAGCAACAAGAAAATGGCTTCCAGCAGGAGGGCAGTCAGTCACTGTGTTACTACTGTGCTGACTCTAGGCCACGCCTCCTCTGGACATTGAAAGGAAGGAGCCACCAGAAGCCTGAAGGGAAATGAGCTATAACCCCACAAAGCACTCAGCTTCTACAAGTCACACACCAGGAAATGCATGGTATGCTTTCACACAAAGTCACATCTGAGCATGTAGGTAGCACAAGAACCTTAGACCCAGGTCTTTTGGTGCAGTGACAGAGAGGCTAACACCTTTCCTCAGGTATCGTCCCAGATGTAACACTGTGCGGGATCAAAAAGGCTGTCAGTAAGTACTCCTCCATGGTGTAAAATGATGTCTGACACATCCTGAAGCACCTGACCCATGCTGTCATGCATCTGGACACTGAGCTCACCTGGCTCAGGAACCAGCCAGTGCAGGCCTTCTGAGGGCACAGTGTATTCATAGCATTTTCTGTGGATAGGATCCAGCAGGAGCCTTGCCATAACTCCTAGCTTAAGCCCCAAATCAAGACTCAATGTGCCCACTTGATGAGAAGAATTGTGGGCAGCACAAAGCTGAAGCCGATCTTTGAAACAAATCAGAGACCCTAGATGTCCAACTCCTCGAACGCCGAGAAAAGTTAGCCCAGGCCTTCAGCATGCTGTCATCCCCCTGACATCTGATCTGCAGACAATGAGCATGACCTGTTAGTGACAGGGATATTGTAAACACCCTCCTCGAAAAGCACCCAAGCCCCTGAAGGTAGCAAGCCCAGAATGCTCTCTCCTGCTCCTGCTGTGGCACATGCCAGAGCATAACAAGATACCCACTACTCTTCCCGTCACTTTCTAAAGAACTGCCCCCATTCCAACCAGGTGTGCTCAGGGACTCCAGTGGAAGCTAAAGGAGGATGCAACAGTGAAGCTGTCCTCTCTAAAGCATCTCCTCCGAGTGCTACAAAGTAGGAGAGATGAGGATACCCAAGGAAAAAGGGAAACAATGCACACCAGACAACAAGCAGCTACAGCCACCCTGAGGGCCTCAGGGTGCCTGTGTATGTGTGTCCAAGCAATTCATACGCTTTACCAACATAGCCTCTAATCCAACCAGACCTCTCATCAGAGCTTTATGCGTAGGCCAGCATGCACCTGCAGGTGACTAAAGAAACCCTGGGCTCCCAAGGCCCTCACCTGGACGCCGGGAGCTACCATCTGGGCAGCCTGTGCTGTCTGCACTGCCGCCTGCGGCTGCACCTGGGGCTGTACCTGCTGCACCTGGGGCTGCACCTGCGGCTGCTGGACCACCATCGGAGCACGGACCTTGAAGGAGGAAGGAAAAAGCAACTTGGAACCACCTGCACAGAGCAGAGCACCTGTGTGGGAGCTTTAAGAATGGAACTTTCAGAACTGGCGAGATGGGTGAGTGGGTCAAGATGTCTGCTGCCAAGCCTGACGACCTGAGTTTGAGCCCTAGGACCCACGTGGTAGGTGAGAACTTACTCCTGAAAAGTTATCCTCTGACCTCTACACTCGAATTGTGGCACACAGGAAACCCTCTTTCCTCAACCAAATAAAAAGTTTTTAAACAAGAAGCCTCCTCTTGGGAAGGGGGATGGGACTGTAATGACACCATGAGCTGTGATGTCACCTTACTATCTGTGCCTGATCACACAAGGTCATAAGAAATATCCCACACCAGCCTACCTGCAAGTTGGCAAAGCCAAGTCCCACCTCTCTCAGTTCTGGCAAGAAACAAGACAGTCCTCCCATGCACACCAACCACAAGCACAAGCTAAGCAAAAACTTCCAAAGCTGAGCACACAGCCTGCCTGCTCAGACCATAAGAGTGTCACTGAGAGCCCAGACTCCATGAAGGAAAACAGGCTGGCCAGCTGGCAGATGGCTTAGCTAGAAAGATGACCTTGGGCGATGGAAGACAGAGGAAACACACATAAGTGAAGGACTAGAATGTGGAGACACCTAGTGGGTGTCCTGGCCAGACCCACATTGGGAGCGTCTCCTTATAGATCTCCACGCTACCAGGCCCAATCTTAGTAGGCACCCTGCATAGAATACACAAAAGTTCTGGTCCCAATAGCTGGTTCTGGGTAACAGGTGAGTGACCGTACTTGTAGCTCACAACCCTCCCAGCCGACACTTTACTTTGACATTCAGCTCAGGGGAGATCCCTGTCACCCTGTCATTTAATGACTAATGGGTAGAAAAGGCCACAAAAACCAAAGGAGCAGAGAATATGCTCAAAATGTTTCTTTTCAAGGCAACTAGTTTTGGTGGCAATATTTTGTTCTCTATAAACACTGTGAGACTTACTTTATATCAAGAGGTACAACGAGTCAGGAAATAATTAAGTTTTATGTGAACATTTGTCTCAGAAATATGGTAATGATGAAGCTAAAAGGGCTGGGGCTGGAGCTCATGGTAAACCTCATGTTTAGTTTGCAGAAAGCTCCCAGGGTCAAGGCCTGGTCCCAGCAGAAAAACAAAAGCCATAGAATAGTTGATGGATACAGCATATCCTCCCACACGGTGAGGTCACCTCATAATCTAATCATGTGTACCAGATATGCCACAGACACTGCTGAAATCAGTGTAGTTTAGCAGATGTGACATCCCTGAAGTATGTGCAAATACCTCTAGGACACACACTCCCTCAATTATTTGTGCTATGGAACTGGATAAGAAGACAGCAATAGGAAATGCTGCCTGAAGCCAGTACAAAATGGACATGCTACATACATCCAAAGGGTCTAAGAAACTGCTGACCACACACAACACCTTCCAAGGTGCAGCTGCTGTGCCACAGGCTTTGGGTACTCACAAATTTCAGCTGCTGTTGGGCAGCATACAACATTGGTCCAGGGAGGGCTTGTGCTTGTGACACCAAAGGCTGGCTTTGCGACTGTGGCGGGAGCTGTGGTGACTGGTTCTGAGCAACCGGGGACTGCTGGGCCTGAGGTGGTGGCTGGTGATGCTGGGCGTGGTGCATCTGTGACAGCTGCTGGGGAAGGGCCTGGGAAGGGGGAGGCTGTGGCTGCTGCATTGGTGGCTGCTGCATTGGTGGCTGGGCCTGCAAAGCCTGCTGCTGCTGCTGCTGCTGCTGTTGCTGCAGCTGCAATTGTGCCATCCTCTGCAGTTGCTGCTGTTGTATCTGAAGACAAAATAATAACAGTTACCACTCAGCAGTCCCTGGGGTGCTAGCGTTGGTCCCATGAAGCCTGGGGGAAGTGAAATGAGCACAGCCTTCATGGAGACCAGTCTACATGGCCTCTCATATTGAGAAGGGGAGACTCAGGCCTTCTAGACCAACAGCAGCTGTTTTCTAGACACTGAGAACAAACCAGATTAGTTCTTGTGCCCTGGTCACTAAAAGCTGGTTCACACCTAGGATGATTCAAGTGAAGTAAATTCAAGAAGGTAGTGAGGAGGAGCTAAGGTAGTGAGGAGAAGACCCAGTCCCATAGCAGGTAGGCCTGAAGCTCAGGCAACTCCAGATGCTTGTAACCTCTCCAGAAAGGCTCTTTTGTCTCCCATGTGGTCAGCAGGGTGGTATGACCCTCGTGAGGACGGGCCTATGAGGAACACACGCCAAGATAAAGCTAGAATTGGTAAAGCAGATTTCAGAACCATGACGCCAGAGAGAGAGGAAGCCTCCTTGGTCTTTTTCCCTTAATCAACACTTGCTAGGAAAATGAAGATGAATATGTCTAGATTCTGACTGCAAAAGACAGGAGGATCAAACAACTTCTGAGCAGGAGCACTTCTAGTGTGACATATTACAACCCTACAGAACACTAGCTAACAACTTTGACTCTATACAAACACTAAAAAACAAGTGTTGTATGTGTCCTCAAAAGCAAGGTGCCAACAGCACAACTCAAGTGCCCTGAGTCTTGGAGTGTTTGTCTCCCTTCTTTATTTTGTTAGCTTAGATGTACTGTTTATAGGCCCTGCTACACAAAGAAGGTAAAAAAATCAAGAGCTCATCTGAGAGGCCTTCCTCCTAAACTTTTTTTCCCCACCTGTGGAAAGGCCCATGGAGAAAGGATAGTTCAGCCTTGCATCTTTGCTAACACTTGTTCCCAAGCTCAAGGAATACAGGACTAAGGCCCAACATAACGACAAGGGAACTTGGTACCTGTTGTTGCTGGCTTTGGTGATGCAACTTAATCAGGTGTTGGTGTTGCTGCTGCTGCTGAAGTTGCTGCTGCTGCACTACTGCTTGGAACTGTTGCTGCATGGCATTCTGTTGTGCCTGGAACTGCTGTTGCTGCTGCTGCTGCTGTTGTTGCTGCTGCTGCTGCTGCAATGCTGCCTGCTGCTGTTGGAACTGCTGCTGCTGCTGCTGTTGCTGCAATGCCACTTGCTGGAGCTGCAGCTGAGCTGGAGAGGGCATCCAGACTTAGGCTGTGCCACCCTGCAGGTGTCCCAGAGCTATATGACAAGGCAGGCAGCAATAGCCATTGCCTACTGACAAGTCTGTCTCTGGTAGCTAAAACCATACAGATCAAGACAGATCAAGTAGGAAGTGGCACTTGTGATGATTATGGAATTTACCATCATGAATTACTGCAGGAACAACCAAAGAGAAAGGGCCCAGTGAGTCTTGGATAGACCCAAAGGTATGCAGCCTCTGCAAAGCAGTACTGTACTGTCTAAGCATTTGTCTATCTGGGCACGTCATACAATGGCATTAGAAAGCGTGTGTGCTCCCTTATACAACGGTCAAATAACATTCTATCATACTCCCACATTTTGTCTATGCATTCTATCCTATTATCAACTGATAAACATTTGGGCGACTTCCAGGTTTGAGCTGCTGCTGATTGGAAATAGTAACCTTGTGAGATTTTTTTAAGGTGAGGCTTCTCCTGCAGTGATGACAATGTTCTAAAACTGATTAGGAGGATGACAGCTGTAAAAGTGTGAATAGACAAAAAGCCACTAGTAGTGCAATGAATTTTGAATGAGTGAACTATGTTAATAAGAATTGTATTTCAATAAAGCTAATAAAAAAAAAAAAAAAAAAACAGAGATCCCCTGTACACTTAGCCCAGTGACAACACTGTATAAAAGGACAAGATCACAAGTAGACCTCAATGGATTCAGTCACCGTTACAGTCAGACACTCAATGGTTTCAACCCAAGTACCCGTCCACTACTACCTCCCTCAATAGCTCACCTGGGGTCTCACATCAACCCCTAAAAGTTGTCTTCTGATGGCCTCACACACACTGCGGCATGCACAACTCTCCTCCCACAAGTAAATAAATACCTATTTTTAAAGTGTAGTAGAAAATCAAGAGCCCGTCTGAGAGGCTTCATCCTAAGCCAGGATCTACTTTTCCCACCTGTGGAGAGGCCCAAGGAAGAGGGCTAGTTCAGTCTTGCACCTAACACCTTGGCTGACACATTAAAAAAAAAAAAAACAAACAACACAAAACTGTACCCTGCAGGATATCAAAGCAGATGCTGAGACTTATGGCCAACCTTTGGGCAGAGTGCAGGGAACCTTATGAAAGAAGTGAAAAACAGTAAGACCTGGAGAGGACAGGAGCTCCACAAGGAGAGCAACAGAAGCAAAAAATCTGAGCATAGGGGTCTTTCCTGAGACTCATACTGCAACCAAGTACCAGGCATGGAGATAACCTAGAACCCCTGCACAGATGTAGCTCATGGCAGCTCAGTCTCCAAGTGGGTTCCATAGTAATGGGAACAGGGACTGTCTCTGACATGAACTGATTGGCCTACTCTTTGATCACCTCCCCCTGAGGGGGGAGCAGCCTTACCAGGCCACAGAGGAAGACAATGCAGCCACTCCTGATGAAACCCAATAGACTAGGATCAAGGAAGGAGAGGAAGACTTCCTCTATCAGTGAACTTGGGGAGGGGCATACGTAGAGAAAGGGGAGGGAGAGTAGGATTGGGAGGGGAGGAGGGAGCTATGGGGGGGATATAAAGTGAATAAAGGGTAATTAATAAAAATTAAAATAAAAAATATTTTTAAAAAAATTTTTTTGAGACAGTGTTTCTCTGTGTAGCCCTGGCTATCCTGGAACTCACTCTGTAGAACAGGCTGCCTCAAACTTACAGAGATCCACAAGTGCTGGAATTAAAGGTATGAGACCCATTGCCCAACAAAAATATAGTTTTTAAAAAAGAACAGTATGAATTGCTGATGATTGGCACTTACCCATCTACATGACTTCCTGGTAACCCAGGTGTGGTGGTTTATCACAGTGTGGCTAGCTACCTCCTAGTGTGACTATTCACATGGTGCAAGACCCGAGGTGACAGCAGATTCAGGCTATTATAATAAAACTACAAAGGTTTTTATATAAAAGTTCATTCCTTCGGGATAAATGGCCCCAAGAATGTAGCAGCTGAGCTATGGACTTCATATTTTATTTATGTGTATGTGTTATCTGTATGAGTGTATGCCTCCATTGCACAGGTGCCCACCAAGGCCAGAAAAAAAGCACTACCCTGCAGTGAGACTTATAGATGATTAGGAGCCGCCCAATGTGAGTGCCTGGGAACCAAACCCAGGTCCTCTGGAAGAATAGGAAGCACCCTTAACTGGTGAGCCAGATCTCTAGTCCCTGTATGCTTAAGTTTTAATGGTTTATTAATTTTTTTATTTTATGTGTATGGATGTTTTGCTTGCATGTATGTTTGTGAAATTAATGTATGCAGTGTCTGCAGGTAGAGGAGGGTGTCAGATCCCCTGGAATCGGAGCTACAGATGGTTATGAATCACCATATGGGTGCTGGGAACTGAACCTGTGTCCTCTGAAAGCGCAGAAAGTGCTCTTAACCACTGAGCCATCTCTCTAGCTCCTGTATGCTTAATTTAAAGAACTACTTTATTTACATTCTCATCTGAAATACATGAATCACTCCACTTCCTTGTCACTAACACTGTTGTCACACTTTCTTTTAGCCACAGTTGGTAAGTTTGAGAACTCTTAAATTTATCTTTTGTGTTACAGACTTCTAACTCCAATGCTCAGAAAACAGGTGGGAAACCACAGTACTCTGACTGAGGTTTTACTTCATTGGTTATTTTCATAAACATTTACTGTATCCTGTGCTTAAATTACATTATTCATTACATCATTCAAATAATTTCTAATATATAGCTCAATAGTTAAGAGCATGTGATGCTCATGTAAGAACAGAGTTCAGATCCACGTGGCAACTCACAACCATCAATAATAACTCTACTTGAAGGAGATCTGATACCTTCTTCTGGCTTTCACAGGTATTAAGTGGTATATATATGGTACACAGATATACATACAGGTAAAACACTCAAACACATTAAAAGATATATATATATATATATATATATATATATCTTTGGGAGGCTGGGGGAGATGGGGGTAAGTTTTTTTCAAGACAGGGTTTCTCTGTGTAGCCTTGGCTGTCCTGGGCTTTCTCTGTAGACCAGTCTGGCCTCAAACTCATGGAGATCTACCTGCCTCTGCCTCCCTGAGTGCTGGGATTACAGGCATGTGCCACACCATGCCTGGCTAAAGATATATTTTCTAATGAACCAATTCTTGTTTGCTTAACTAGCCATTACCAATGGGACTAAGGTAATTGTCTAACCCATCTTTACCATCTACTTCTGTACTTTTCTTGGTCTTACACTATAGGCATATCTCTTAAGATGTAACAGAAGAATCACACCCCATCTTTTATAGAAAACCTTGGGGATGGAGAAATGGCTTCGCAGTTAACAAATGTCAGCTGCTCTTCCAAGATTCAGGTTCAGTTCTCAGCACCTGTGGTAGGCAGCGCACAACAGTCTATAACCTCACTTCCAGCAAATCCAATGCCCCCTTCCAGCCTTTGTGGACACATGGAGACACACACACACACACACACACACACACACACACACACACACACACACTCTTTAGAGCGAAGCTAATAAGTTCATTCTACTATGATTACTTATACTTCCAGCTCAGTCTTTTTCCTCTTTCCTCTCTGCCTTCCTCTGTAAACTGAAAATGCAGGACATGCACATTGGACAGGCACTCTTACACTGTCCTACATCCCAAGCCCTTGTCTTTCATTTTTCTAAGCTTCTGGTTTTGGTTTGGTTTTAAAGATTAATTTTTAATTATGTGTGCATGGGGGGGGGGTGTTGAACATGAATGTAAGTATTTGCACAAGCCAGAGGCACTGGATCTCCTGGAACTGGAGTTACAGGCATCTATATGAGCCAGTCCACATATGTGCTGAGACCTGAACTTGTGTCTCTGCAAGAGCTGTACAAGTTTTTACTGCTGAGCCATCCTTTCCAGCCTCTGCTTTTTTGAACTGCATAGTTCTTTCTGGATAATTATACTGGACATTATACATTGTATGGACTGGTCTCTTCTGTTGCTCTGTTTCTTACTCCATTTTTTTCCTATTGCTTTGAAATTTATAAAGTATTTCTATTGTTTTATGATTAATTTTCAACTTATTACATATAATTAAAAGAGCAAAGCTTGCTAATATACTTTTTAAACTTTTTATATTTATTTAGTGGGGGACGTACGCATACCATGGCACACATGTAAAGGTCAGAGGACAACTTGTAGAAAACAGTTCTCTCCAAAATGAGGGTTCTGGAGGTTAAACACAGGTTGCCAGGCTTAGTAGTAAGTTCTTACCAATATTTTTAACTTATTTTCCAAATTCACCTCCCGCTCAGTGCTGGGGACTGAACCCAGAGACATGATGATTTTAGGGGTTTTCTAACACTGAGCTGATCAGCAGCCTCTTTTTCTGGCACAACCTCTGAACGAGGCTCTGCCCCTTTAGGGACACTGGCTGAAGACCTGAACTGGGCCAAAATACATGGGAGTGTTTGCAGAAGGCATAAGGAAGACAGAACAGGAAGCCACTAGCACCTACTTCAGGCGAACCCAGGATGCCCAAAGGGGCCAAGGGCATAAGGAAAAGTAGTTGGTATAGAGCACAGAAAGATGCAGAAGCAGAGCAGAGCCACCAGAAATCCCTGGAAACTGAAAACAGGAAGTGGGTCAGACTGAAGAGAAGGTGTGGACAAGATACTACAGCCTCTTTACTGAATGTCTGGAAAACAATTTATTTAAGACAAACTCTTAGGAGTGGATTACAAGTTAAGTCACATGAGCATTCATTCCAACTCCAATATTGTAAAGCCATCTCTTACTGTAAAATAGCCAGGAATAGGGGCTGGAGAGATGGCTCAGAGGTTAAGAGCACTGGCTGCCCTTCCAAAAGTCCCGAGTTCAATTCCCAGCAACCACATAGTGGCTCGCAACCATCTATAATGAGATCTGGTGCCCTCTTCTGGCCTGCAGGCATGCAGGCAGAAAACTGTATGAATAATAAATAAATAACTCTTTAAAAAAAATTGCCAGTAACAGCCAGGAATGTGGCACAAGCTTATAATCTCAGCAGCACTGAGGAGGCAAGGCAGCAGCACTGAGCAAATTCAAGGCCAACCTGGTTTACATGGCAAGTTCCAGGGCAGCTAAGACTCTATAGTAAGACTTTGTCTCAAACAAATACACAAATCTACCAATGCAGCTGACTGCAACCTAAGTCCCAGCCAGGGCAACTGCACACAGAAATCAGGGCAGGTCCTACAGGGAGGTGTGAGAAGGGTAAAGAACCTCCTTCGAGAGAGGGGAGCCCAATGTGGAAAAGAATAACTGCAATGCACAGCCAAGATGGACCATGGAATAAAAGTAGCAGCAGATGCCCAACAACCTCAAGGCACGCCGAGGAGATACAGGGTGCAAACACATTCCAGGACAGCCAGGGCTATATGGAGAAACTCTGTCTCAAACAAAACAAAACAGCCCCAACCAAACAAAAAACCCACATGCCTCCAAATAACCAAGTCTCTCCCTACTCTTACAGCCCCAGCTGGTAGGAGAGCCAGCACTATTTACTCCTCTAAGCTCAAAGGCTTCCTCTCCATCCCCACTGTCCACAGCAGAGCTCTCTGGGGCTCCTTGACACTTTCCCCAATAACACTGTAAGCACAAGATTAGCATGCAGTGTCCCCTGCCAATGAGCACAGTACTCACTCTGTGGAGTTGCTGTAGACACCACAGCCATGCCATGAGGGGCCATCCCAGAAGTTCCAGGGGGTGGCTGCCCAGAGAGGGGCATTGGCTGTCCTATAGCGCCAAGGCCACCCATCCCGCCCAGGGACTGTCCTGGGCCCCGAGGAGGCATGCCAATGCCAGCTGCTCCTGGGGTGGGTCCACCAGTAAGGCTCTGCAGTGCATTCATGGGATCTGTGGGAACACAAAGACACAGTGTCTGAGGAAAGGAACCTAAACTGGGCAATCTCACAGGTAAATGGCTCCCAGGGGCCCCTCCCTCTTATGTGCTTGACCCATTCAAATTAATGACAAATAGAAGCCAGAGGTCTGAAATTTCCCAAATGCCTGGGGCCAAGAATCTGGGTACTGCTAGAACACCAGCCTCATGACCAGGGAACATACTCCATGCTTCAACCCAGCCTGTGTCAGTGTCCTAGTGCTGGATTACAAGGGAGCCCTGGGATATGCACAGCTGCACTGAAGATGGGCTGAGCCCTCAAGGTCAGCTAGCAATCAGTCCCTTCTTCCCTGGCCACAGCAGACTCCAGAGAACTGAAGTAGGAGGCTCTTCTTCCCAGCAGGCAGGAACACAGTGGCCAGACTAGAGAAGCAGAGGACACAGGCAGACACTCCCTAGGAAGAGCACAAGTAGGCGAAAGGCCACATTTTTACAGCTGAGTCTCTACAGAACACCACTCCAACACAGATCTGAGGCCAGGAGCAGCAGATCAAAATAGGTAAAGGAGTACGAAAGGCTACAGGGTGCTGAGGGGCAGAGCCATGCCCAACCAAGCCTTGGGACAGCAGGTGTAGTTCAGTGAGCAATGCCACAACCAGAGACAAGCAGCCAGATGCTATTATCACAGTAGTTTAAATAAACTCACAGAAATTACCTATAGATAGGTATCGCCTGGCTGGTCATTGGGCCATATGCATTTGGCCAGTCCTGGGCCAAGGGCAGGGGAACTATTCAGGCAGAGGCACTTAGAGCTCAGGCCTAGGGCAGGCCACCCAACCACAGGGTGCAATGCTGGAGTGCACCTCCTTGTGTGTGTGGTTCTGCAGATGGAGGACAGTACCTTGCACATGACAGGCAAGCACTCTCCCACAGAACCCTTTCTGCCAGGCAGGGGGGATCTGTGAACCCCATGAGGACAGCTCAGAAGGCAGAGCTCAGGGTCCAATACAACGGACACAATTCCCCTTATATGACAAAATTTGAAATTAAAGTAAAAACATTTATGAACTCACAAACAATTCTATAACTTAAGTAAACATGCTGGAAAATGGTGACACACATCTTTAATCCCAGAACTCAGGAGACAGAGACAGGTGATCTCTGAGATCAAGGCCAGCCTGATCTACAGAGCAAGTTCCAGGACAGCATGGGCTACACGGAGAAATCCTGTCTCGAAAAACAAACAAAAACAACAACAACAACAAAAAGAAAGTGAATACAATTGAACATGGTGGTACACATCTTTTGCCCCAACCTGGGAGGCAGGCAGAGGCACACAGATTTCGACTATGAATGAGGCTAGCCTGGTCGATGTAGGCTTCCAGCCAGGGTTACATAGAGAGAACCTGTCTCAAAACAGATGATCCCACACACAAAAGAGAGAGCAACGGAGGGAAGTGAATTCCCATAGCTGTTATCTATGACACATTACTGTGCGTTACTATGCCATGCCACAATGGTTCTTCTAGGCAATGTATCAAAGCCTTGTAAGTTTTTATGATCTTTACTAAATAAAGTAAGATGGAAAAGCCACTGGGGTAACTTCAGTCTGCAAGAAAGCAAAGGCTGGAGAAGGGGCTGGGATGTGGCTGATGGCCACTTCACCTGAGATCTTTGGAATGTTCTCGTCCATTACAGGGTCGACCCATGCACATGAGGCATGTATTATCTCATCCCTGCTACCCCAAACTGCAAGTTTGGAAAACTGTATTTCAAAAGGATAACTTACCACTGACAGACGCCTGGGATTTCTTGTTATCTACAGAGAAACACAAACACAAAAACCCAATGTAAACAATTTTGCATAAACACAGATTTTCCTGGGTAGGTCATTTCTGCAAATACCTGACCAGCAGTCATTTGCTAAAACTGAACTGACCTTACATAGAAACTAGGTCTCAGAACCTAGAGCCTCAATCCCAAGGAGCTGTTGGTAACCTAGTAACCAAGTAGGAGAGACCTAACCCCAGCACTGTTGCACACAAAGGGAGTCTGGAAGCAGAGGGGACAAAGAAACTTGAGGGTCCATCTCAGTGAACTACACCCAAGGCTAGCACACCCAGAGCCTGGAGACTCTGGGCCTTTCCTTTCTTCCAATACCAAAGTCTTAGCTCAGATCCTGAATCTGAGAAATGATAGCAATCCATGCTAGGGCTCAAAGAACAGCGCTGAGAACTCAAGTGCCTGCACTTTCAGCCCACCCTAATGTGATGTTATCTCTATTTTCTAGGTGAGGGAACCGATTTTACCTGAAATTGCTCAAGACTGGGAACCTTGTCTGCCTACTGCTCAGTCCCTCCATGTGAGCCTGCGGGCTGTGTGTATCTCAGGCCACCATCCTCAAGAGCTGGGCATGGAAACCCATGTCAGGATTTCCAGTGACCTAGTCTCCAAACTCTTGGGTCCTTATCTTCCCCACATGTCCTATGTTCTTTTCAATACCCCAAAGAAAGTAACATCTGTAGAGTCTACCTTGCTGGCCATTCTGGTTAAAAACTTAGTTTGGAGTTGGGCTAAAGAGATGTTCAATGGTTGTGCTGGTTAGTTTTAGGTCAACTTGATACACAAGCTGTAGTCATTTTGTTTTTATTTGTTTTGGAAGAGGGAGCCTCAACTGAGAAAATGCCTCCACCAGACAAGCCTGTGGGCAAACCTATAATGCATTTTCTTAATTGATAATTGATGTGGGAGGGCCCAGCTTACTGCGGGTGGAGCTACCCCTGGGCTGGTGGTCCTGGGTGCTGTTAGAAAGCAGGCTGAGCAGGTCATGGGAGCCCGGCCAGTAAGCAGCACTTATCTACCGCTTCTGCTTTAGCGCTGGCCTCCAGGTTCCTGCCTGATGCCTTGATGATAGTCTGCTACCTGCAGGTGAAGACAAGAAGCGCTCTCCTCCCCAGGTACCTTTTGGTCGTGTGCTTCTCAGAGCAGTAGGCACTTTGACTAAGCAGTGTTTAAGGGCATGAGCTGCTCTTTTTCTCTATTTTGAGACAGGACCTCACTGTCTATTCCTGGCTGGCCTCGAACTCTCAGAAATCCTTCTGCCTCTGCCTCCTGAAGCTCTGGGATGAAAGGCCTCTGCCACCAAACCTGGCTAAGAATCTACTACTCTGGCAGCAGACCAGAGTTTGATTCCCAACACCCACATCTGATAGGACACAACTCCCTGTAGCTCCAACTCTGGGAACCTGATGCTCCAGAGGGGCTCCATGAACTCCTATGTGCATACACGCGCGCACGCGCACACACGCGCACACACACACACACACACACACACACACACACACACACACACACACCTCAATAAATAATGAATTAATCTTTTTTTTAAGTTGGTGTGGAGCCCTGGATTCACAATGTCCTCCTTTGCTTTCAGTGACCTCACATTGAAGCTGTGACTGCCTCTACAACCTACATTTCGTCTCTAAACCATGGGGGAATTGGTGTGGACCCATCAAGACGAGCCTGTCTAGTGCTTATACAACTGGGAGAAGCACTGTCCGCTGGAACTCAGTGTTCACCAGCCTGGGTGCCCTTCACAGGCTGGCTGTGGCCATCCAGAAACACTTGGTTTACCTTTGCCTACACAAATATACCAAGACTCCTGCTCCAGGAGGTTAGGGCAACTCCCATCTGAAAAGCCAGGGAGCTACCTGACAGCTAACAGCACCACAACAGTGCCCTGTGAATCAGAGGAGTCAAGAGTTGCAGCATGGGAACCCTCAGCACAGCAAAGAGACAGAGGAGGGACTTGGGAATGACTGCAAAGACTTCCAGTTTCACAGTCCAGGCCTCCTAATCATTTTTTAGGGAATAAAACCCCAGTTACAAGGTAAACTGCTTACTCAGATACCCAGGGTCAAATGTGAAAGCCATAAAAGAGAGCAAATGAACAAATCACTTTAAATCACTTTGAGACCAACATTTCTATCTATTACATCAAAATCCACACTTTGAGGTTGAGCAGGGTAGGGAATCCAGAAGCAGCGAGGAACTTCCCAGAAACATGCAACAACCTAACTCAGGTGTTGAGGCCTAGCTGAAAGTTTCTACAACACAGCCACAAAACAGGTCCCTCAAACCAACCACAATTACCCCAAAATATAAACTCTTACTTACGAATATCTCGAAAATGGATAATGAGTCGGGCCACAAGGGAAAGGTATTCATCCTAAAAGTAAAAACAGAAGTACTTTAATCCCAAATGGAGAAGCAAAGACATGTGACTCCTCCTTGGCACCCCTTGGTGGCCCAGCCACCTAACTGAGGTTCTTCTGTCAAGCCTTGACCTCTGGGGCTGCCTGAGATGGCCACAGCCACTCACCCCATTGGCTTCCTCTGGAATCTCTAAAAATTTCAGGATGACTGAGAATACTCTTCTGTATCTGAGAGAGAGAGAGAGAGAGAGAGAGAGAGAGAGAGAAAGAGCGAGCGAAAGCGCAAAGCCCTTCTCAAATGTGGCAAACAGGTGAAGACCACTGCCTAAAAAGGCCTTTTCTCTGTGCCATCCAGTTTCAGAAACTGTCCAGTGGGGCTTGCCTTCTACTGACTATCTGCTGTGCATCCAAAAACACTCCTGAGTGTTCTAGAGAAATCACTACTATACTGGGTCCAACAAAGAGAAGCCTGCATTAAAATCTCATGTCAGCCATCTCTCCCTCCACTGAAATTCCCACTCTGTAAGCATGGCAGAAGAAGAGCAAATCCCTCACTATCTACCTTTTGTATGACTGTCTCCAAAGTCATCCTGGGACTGACAAGGTGATGAAGGAAAGGCAGAAGATGAACATGGATTGAACAAGCATGTAAACCTCATGACTGTCTACAGGTACTATAGCTCATTATAACTCCATTTGTTACTTTTTCCCATCTAAAGGAATCAGCACAGAGTAAGGGGAAGGGGAAGCTGGGGAAAATCTGTCACCAAGAAAATGAATTCACAGTGGGAAAGGAGGCACAGCTCAAAGGGTTATTTCTTTAAGCCACTCAGTTACAAGCTGGTATAAAAAAGCAAAGCTGTACCAACAAAATTTACATAGAAATAGACCAAAAAATCTGGGCATAGGGGTCTTGGCAGAGACTGATACTCCAACCAAGGATCATGCATGGCAATAACCTAGAACCCCTGCACATAAGTAGCCTATGGCAGCTCAGTCTCCAAGTGGGTACCCTAGTAAGGAGCACAGGAGCTGTCTCTGACATGAACTCAGTGGATGGCTCTTTGATCACCTCCCCCCTGAGGGGGGGGGGCAGCCTTACCAGGCCACAGAGGAAGACAATGTAGCCACTCCTGATGAGACCTGATACTAGGGTTAGATGGAAGGGAAGGAGGGCCTCCCCTATCAGTGGACTTAGAGAGGGGCATGAGAGGAGATGAGGGAGGGAGGGCAGGATTGGGAGGAGATGAGGGAGGGGGCTACAGCTGGAATACAAAGTGAATAAATTGTAATAAGTAAAAAAAATTAAAGGAAAAAAATAAAAATAGATGATTTGGGGCTGGAGAGATGACTCAGAGGTTAAGAACACTGGCTGTTCTCCCAAAGGTTCTGAGTTTAATTCCCAAAAACCACATGGTGGCTCATAACCATCTATAGTGAGATCTGGTGTCCCCTTCTGGTGTACAGGCACACATACAGGTGGAATGCTGTATAAATAATAAATAAATCTTTTTTAAAAATAGATGACTCAAGTAATTTTTTTGTCTTGTTTTCAAGATAGGGTCTCACTATGTAACTCCTCCGGCTGTCCTGGAACTCACTATGTAGATCAGACTGGCCTTGAACTCAGAACACTTGCCTATGCCTCCCAAACACCAAGATCAAAGGCGTGTGCCATTACACTCAGCTTCAATTAAGTCTTTACCAAAATTCCTTTAACTGTAGAGCACGTGTTTAATCCTAGCACTCTGGAGACAGAGGCAAGCAGATATCTGAATTTGAGGCCACCCTGGACTTACATAGCAATTTCGAGTACAGTCAAGGCTACACAGAGAAACCTCATCTCATAAGCGGTCACAATAGGGCAGGAAATATAACTCAATGATTGAGTACTTTGCCCAAGTCCCTAGCAATAACAATAACATCACAAAACAAAATAGACCTAAACAATAAAAATATCCCATCTCCCAAATATTTGCAAATTATATGATCTATATATCAAAAGATATAAAGAACTACTAAAATAATCAAAAATTCAATTAAAAAATGATCAAATGATAAAAATAGACATTTCACCACAGAATGTTTACAAATGGCTCAAAAGCACTAAAGAGATGTGTGACATCATATTAAATAGACAAACAGCAATCAGAACCACTTCTCAAACTGACAGTTATTATAACAAAGGCAATGGCAAATGTTAGAGATAGTAGAACCATGCAGTTACTTTGGAAAACAATTTAGAAACTCAAACCCCAAGTATGTAGGGAGTTTTTGTTTCCCCAAGAGAAATTAAAACAATCTACATAAAAACTGGTATATGAAGCCAGGCAGCAGTGGCCCACGCCTTTAATCCCAGCAGGTGATCTCTATTGAGGCCAGCCTAGTCTATACCATGAAATTTTGTCTTGAAAAAAAGTTAAAGAATCAGGTATGCACTACAACATGGTTAATGTTTGAACCCTGACAAGACTGTGCTCTTTGAAAGACATTACAAAATCCTCAAATCATTATGATTGTGTTTCTACAGGAAGTTTAAGTGAGGAAATCCACAACAATGAAGTAGGTGAGTGGTTGCTAACAGGGAAAATTGAGTACGACTGCTAACTTGTAAAATATTTTAACATAACATCGAAGTAATTGCTCACATGATTCAGAGTATCATGTGACTCAGAAGACTGAACTATGTACCTCAAATGTGTGGATTTTACAGAACCTTAGTCCAATCTTAACAATGCCTTTAACACATCCACAGAACAGCCATGAGCTGCTGAAACTTGCCCTTCCACATATTTGTACACAAAAACACGCTTTCCATCTCGACTTCAATTTCATTTTGTTTGTGCTATTTGTATCACTTCTTTAAAAAAAATAGATTATTATTTATTTATCTATTTAATTTGGAGATGGTCTCAATTGTAGGCCTGGCTAGCCTGGAGCTTGATATGTAGACCAGGTTGGCCTCAAATCCACCTGCCTCTGCCTCCTATGTGCTAAGATAAAAAGCATGCACCACCACAGCCAGCTTTAAACTGAAATTGTGTGTGTGCAGGAGTGAAGGTTGAAGTAGGGTGATGCATGTACGTGCAAGTCATCTGTGGAGGCCAGAAGATCTCATGGAGCTGGCGTTTCAGGCTGTTGTGAACCACCTACAAAGGTCTGGGAACTGAACCTGAGTTTTCTTCAAGAACAGTATGGTCCTGTAATTGCTGAGCCTCTTTCCAGCCCCTTGTTTCACTTCTAGTCTCCATCTCTATTCCTGAGAACACATACAGTGGGAGAAGGTCTCCTAAAGGCCGCGATACTGTACCAACTTGGAAATTCTTCTTCCACCTGGGAAGTTCCAGCCTCAACTCTTCATTCATTCATTCATTCATTCATTCATTCATTCATTCATTCATTCATATGCATACGAGCGCTCTATCTGCATGTACACCTCATGCCAGGAGAGGGCATCAGATGACATTATAGATGGTTGTGAGACATATGTGGTTGTTTGGAATTCAACTCAGGACCTCTGAAAGAGCAGGCAGTGCTCTTAACCACTAAGCCATCTCTCCAGCCCCCCAGCCTCAACGTTTCTAAGCACTGCCTAGCTCTCTGTATAGAGAAATCAAAGACAACTCTGGACCCTTGCATCAGGGCACAAAGCCAGCATCTCTTCCAAGGAGCAAGGGGATCCAAGGAGCTCCCTGTGGGAATCACGAAGTCAACTACATACATGTGACAGGGTCAGCAATGAGGTAACGAGGCATGGCCTGTAACCTCAGTGCCCATCTAGGAGTCTTGCCTTTTCCATGGACACATGGGAGGTTCCACAGTGCTGTGGTGAAGCCAGCTGGATCTGAGAACATTGAGCAAGCACTCGCCCTCTCCAGGATCCAGGTAGAAGGGTCTCAGTATCAGCAACTCCCCTCTTGGAACTGCTCTGCTGGGGACTCCGGCCAGCAGGCTCTTACCCGGGTCTTGGCCTTCAGGAACACGTGGCTCTCCATATCCTTGCTAGATTTACTGTGGGCCACACCAGCTTTCCTCATGGCATCCTCACTGAAATACAAAAGAAGAGATGTTTACATACACCACCAAGTCTACGCCTGGTAAACTGGTGCTGCCCTTGACGTCCTGGGGAGGAATGAAGGGAGAGGCACTCGGCAAAATAGTGGCAGTAGCCTGAGCTGAACATTAGAGTAAAAGGGCAGGGCCATGAGAGGAGTGAACAGGAAAGGTGAGTACCATAAGAAAAGAGAAGCCCCTGGGCGTAGCTTTGGCTGTCCTGGACTGGAACTCAGTGCTAAGATCAAAGGCATAGGCCACTGCTGAGTTAATCATTAATTAGACTGGTGGGTGGTCATTGAGGCCCCGAATGATCTGAATGATCTGAGCCCCTATCCAACTCTACCTCTGAGTGTAGTGGGTGGTCATTGAGGCCCCGAATGATCTGAGCCCCTATCCAACTCTATCTCTGAGTGTAGCGGGACTGCAGTTCTAGAGTCTTCACCTGTAAAATGAACAGTCCTCAGATGTCATATCTCATTCCCCCTGAGACGGGGCAAGTCATGTTTTCCTAACAAGGCCAAAGAGACTGTGGCCAACTTTCCAACTTCTAACTAATGAGAACAATAGGAGACAGTTCACACTATGTAAAAAAAACAGAACATCTAAAACATGTTTTCCCCCCTGAGACAGGGTTTCTCTGTGTAGCCTTGGCTGTCCTGGACTTGCTTTGTAGACCAGGCTGACCTCAAACTCAGAGATCCCGTGCGCCACTGCACCCAGCTTTAAAACATATTTTATACAGAGATATAAAGAGGACTATCCTAAGCTAGGCATGGTGTCACATGCCAGCAATCCCAGAAACAGGGGAGGCAGAGGCAGACGGGTCTCTGAGTTTGAGGCCAGTGTGGTCTACAAAGTGAGCCCAGGACAGCCAGGGCTACACAGAGAAACCCTGTTTAGAAAGACAAAACAAACAAACAAAAGACCAGTGAAGGTTCTACTTCACACTATGGGGGAAAGAGCTTGTACATAGGCCAAACAGAGCTCCAAAAGCATGTACCACTTTGAATGGGGGCTGGAGAGATGGTTCAGTGGTTAAGAGCACTTGATGCTCTTTCAGAGATCTTTGATTCCCAGAACCTACATGGTGGCTCACAATCACCTCCAATTCCAGAAAATTTAACATTTTCTGCCCTTCGAGGACACTGCATGTGGTACACTTACATTCATGCAGACAAAACACTCATACACATAAAAGAATATAAGAAAATATTTTCTAAAAGGAAAGAACAGATATGTGTCTGCTGGAAAAAAGCATGTTAAACTGAGGCCTGAAATACTGGCTACTCTGGTCTGCTCACAGCCTGTCTTCTTCCAGGCTTGCTGGTACACTAATCAGCAGGTTGTGGGCTCTGGGCTTCGACTCAAAGTAAGATAAAAGTCCAGTCCAATTGGTACTCAAAAGCATTCTGACCTCCAAAACACAAACCAACTCAATCTAGTTACTCCTAGAATCCACATAAAGGTGGAAGAATTGGCACCATCAAGTTGTCCTCTGACCCCCACATGCATGGTATAGCACATTCATATCCTCTCTATCCCATAATAAGTAATAAATCAAATTAAATGTAAAATATCACATTGCTAGATCCTTCATTAACAGCATATTGATGCTCTGGCCTCTCCTTTCTATCTACTTCCTGAAGCTCTCTGGCTCTGGCTCTGGCAGCAGGAGGTGCCTGCTTGCAAGGCATCTAGGTGAGGAGCAGACATAAGAAAAGGTCCCTGGAGCCACAAGAGACACCATAATAATGAAGTAGACTAGTACCAAGAACCAGCCTACAGGACACATAGGAGCAGACATATCAGGAGGCAGGCCACTGGAAACCCAGCACACAAGTACTGAGGCTTCCACACTGGGACTGGAAACACCACCCGGTAGGTGATAAATTCACTGAGATGAAGCAGACCTGTGTTCAGAAGCATTCCTCACCTGTGTCCCAAAAGTCCTACCTGTTCTCTTCCTGCTTTACAGCAGGTTCAAAAAGGGCCTGAGAGGTAAACAGCCGTGAATGGAAGTTAAGAATTTAGAGGTTGCAGAACAGTCTACCAATTCCAGGGCATCAAGTCAAGTACTTGCAGATGAACTGCACAGCCAAAACACTCATGTAGGCACAGAAGAGGGGCTCTGTGTCATCACCAAAGGCCAAGCCAGACTTCGAAGAGGGTCCTCCCAAGCTGCTGCCAGGCACCTTCACTAGAACCAGTTGACACAGTGTAGCCTTCGCTACACCAAGTGGCTTTATGCAGTCAACAGACAGACCCAGGACACAGCACACTGCCACAGCTCTGGGACAGTAGGACAACAAACCACAATCAGTGACCTGGACAAAGAAATGCGCTTGGGTGACCCATAGGCAAAGTGTTCCAGTGATACTGAATTAATATGCCTTCCCAGTGAGAAATCACTCTGACTATTTAAAGATTAACAAAAGAAAAGTGAAAGGTTCTAGCTAGTGCCCAAAAAGGAACCAGCACAAAAGGGAACAGAAATGTTTATGTGCTTCTATAGGCCTTAGTCTTATACATTCCACATATGCTGTCATACTTATATCTCCCTCAGGTTCCATGTACACTCTGAACAATTTAAACAGAGCGAGGAAGCTGCAAGTCTGCCACTTGGACAGATGGAATATTTACATTGAAATGATTCTGCCAGAATTCTTTTTTCTTTTTTAATTTAAGTATATGCCTGCATGTACATCTGCACACCAGAAGAGGGCACCAGATCTCATTAAAGATGGTTGTGAGCCACCCAGTGATTGCTGGGAATTGAACTAAGGACCTTTGGAAGAACAGTCAGTGTTCTTAACCTCTGAGCCATCTCTCCAGTCCCTGAATTCTTTCTTGAGTACATCAGTGCTGTTCTTTTCATAGCTGTTACCCAAGGATAAAATTACAGCAGGAAACTTGGCAAATGATGCTTCTTCTGAAAAAGCGCACAAGGGACTTAATGGCGATCAACAACAACCACTTAATAGTGGTTGAAACCCTCTGCTCCCCCTTGAACTCCCCTTTAAAAGCCTGTTTTTTGATGTGAGGATGGGCCTACAGGCCTGTTGTAAATCAGAGGTCAATCTTGGAGAACAAACATTAGCAGAAACTCTCTCAGAGAGGCAGCATTCCTCAGCTAAATTCTTTTCCTTCCTTCTTTCTTTCCCTCCCTCCCTCCCTTCCTTCCTCTCTCTCCCTTCCCCCCTCACTCCCCTCTCTTCCCTCTCCCTCTCTTTAAGATAGAGTTTCTCAGTGTAGCCCTGGCTGTCCTGGAACTCTGTAGACCAGGCTGATTTCAAACTAAAAAATCCACCTGCTTCTGTCTCCAGAGTGTTGGGATTAAAGGCGTGTGCCACCACCACTAGCTTCAGCTAAATTCTTTATAGCATCAATTTTATTACTTCAACTTTCTTCTTCGTAACCAGATGCCAGGGGACATGGCCAAAGGGTGAGCTCTACCCTTCCAAGAGACCAAGAGAGTAATGTTACTATGGGCTATCAACTGCTAAAGACCCAGAGTTTGAGGAGTATCAATCTAACTAGAAGCCAAAGATAATCCTCACAAGTTTGGATACACTGGGGTGGGGGCCCATATACACACCATATACACAAACAGGACACAGCCTCAATTGTGAGAAGCCAGGTCTGCTGTGAGCTGTGTAGGGAGGGCAATACCAGGCTCTGCAAATCCCACCTTCCATTCACAGGGCCTGCGCTCAGTCTCTTCATATTTAACACACCCAAATGCCCTGACTGCTGTTTTTCATCTTGCAAAGCATATTTTGAAAATGTTTCTACTCTGATTTCTAGCCTGAAAATCACTCTCCATAAAGCAAAGTTCACAAGAATGGAAAGCAGGCAAGTACTTAGCCTTCCTTTACCTTGCACTTTGTCCCCGACAAGCACCTTCCCCTTCAAGTCTTGGGTGTGGCCCCCAATTCAGACTTACTTAGATTCAGGTCCTCCCTTACTCTAAGACTGCAGGCATTAACTGTCAGAGGCTGTGATCAGGCCTAGCATACCCTGGAGTAGACCTGCTGCTTTCTGGCCCCTTCAGATCACTCAGAGTGAGGCTTTGCCACCCCCACCCCACTCCAGAATGCTTTCCAAGCACTTTGACACATCTAGCCACTCCTGTTTCCCTTGGGGACGGCACTAGTCCCCCTTCTTTGCACCATCCAGCTCTCCTTGCCACAGCTGCCTTGGTGTCTGGTTTAGAATGGCGCCTGCTGGTGACTGATCAATCATTACAGGACTACAATTCCCTTCATAAGAAGGATTGGAAGGTGTCCTGACTTCCACAGCTGCCCTTGGAACATGGTACATTTGAAAGGCACTGCCTGGTACTACCTAAGCAACAGTGAAACATTAAGAAACCCTGCTGGGCTGGGCATGGTAGCACAAGCCTTTATTCCAGCAGTTCTCAACCAGTAGGTTGAAACCCTTTCGGGGGTCAACTGAACCTTTCACAGGAGTTGCATAGCAGATACTTACATTATGATTCATAACAGTACCAAAATTATAGTTATGAAGTAGCAAAAATAACTTTATGGTTGGGGGGTCACCACAACCATTAACTGTAAAAGGTCACAGCATCAGGACGGCTGAGAACGACTGCTTTAATCCCAGCTCTCTGAGAAGCAGTGGCGGGGGATCTCTGTGAGTGTGAGGCCAGCCAGATTTCTATAGCTCCACAGCAGCCAGGGCTACCTAACTGTGCAATGAGGCGGCACCCTCTAATACTTCCAGCACGCAGGAATATTAATGTCTTTCCAGATGAGGTCCTGGCGAGTGCCTGCAGCTCCTTCAGGCGGAGCTGTCCCCTTTGGACTCTGACTTGTCTGGGGTTCCCTCAACAGTGAATCACTCCACCACTCCAGCAAAGGGCTCTCATGGCTGTGCTAATAAACACAGACCAGTCTTTCCTACAGTTCTTCCTTCATTCCTCCTGATCCTTTCTTCCACTCCCTAATTTTAGGGCGGGTTATCATCCAAGG